CCCCCCCCCCCCTCACCCCCCTCCCCCCGGCCCCCGTCCCGATCCCCGCCTCCACCATCTCTCCCAACTACGGACCGAATACCTCCAGACTCTCCACGATCTCCACGCTCTCCACGCAGTCTTCAAACACCCAACTCCACAGCTACCCCGGATTCCAGCACTAACTTAACTCAACCAACCCCTCCCGGGCTAGACCTGACGACGGGAAGACATCATCTCTTCTCGCCCGCTATGTCTACATCAGTCAAGCGGGCTTGCGACGCGTGCCATCGTCGAAAGGTCAAATGTGACGGTATCACTCCGTGTCGCAATTGTTCGGCGGCGCAATTGTCATGTACCTACCACGCCATACCACAGAAGAAGGGGCCCAAGGGCTCGCGGGCGAAGGTCATCAGTGAGCTACGCGAAACCCAGCGACAGAGCACCCTCTCCTCGAAAGTTGCGAATCGATTGAATGGAATCAGCAGCCCCCCGTGCAGCCCGACTCTCGCGCCTTCCCCCGGCCTTCTCACACACGACATGATCAAGCGCTGTATGGATTTTTTCTTTGCGAACATGTATCCCACCTTACCCATTCTCCACCGAGGGCGCCTAGAGCAGCAGGCCATGTACGCGGATCAAAATGTCGATACATACTGTCTCTTGACATCATTTTGCGCCTTCATGATGATCCAGCCGGGAATGGGAATACCTGGCGATCCTCTCGGGCTCGACAGTCTGCCCGGCGCAAACTTGGTGTCCGGGAACCTGTTGGTGGAAGAGACGTTGCGAGTCCGGAAATCCTACGATCACCTTGAGAACCCAACCTTGAATAGCTTGGTCACCAGTTTCTTCCTGTTTGGCTGTTACTTCGGTCTGGATTTGCACAACAAGGCCTGGTTCCATGTGAGAGAGGCGACAACGCTGGCACATATTCTGGGTATGCAGAAGGAGGAGACGTATCAGCAGTTTGATCCGGTCGAGTCGTCAAGAAGAAGGAGACTCTATTGGCTTCTCTTCGTCACCGAGAGGTAAGATCAGCAGTCGATGTGGCACATGCATCTTGGTACTGACCGGAGGACAGAGCGTATGCACTTCAAAGGCACCGGCCTCTTTCGTTACAGGCGACCATCACTCTTCCAACACAGAACGATGATCCCTCGGATTCACAAGCACATCACTTGAATGGGTTTATCCATCTCGTCAACCTATTCCGACCGTTTGATGAAGGGTTTGTTGCCTTGTGGAACAAAATCCGCACAGACTGTTCGCCTGCGTATCTGTCAGCCCTCCAAAAGCAGCTGAAGGATACACTTCCGACATACCTCAACTCCACGGAGAACCAGACTGCCGATTTGCGAACGAGCCAGCAGTGGCTGCGGACGATGGTCTGGCAACTGAGTATCCAGAATGGGTGCTTGAGTTCGGGCAACGGCGATCCAAGCATGACCTTCCACTATCCAGTCGACATTGCTCGGGATCTCGTCGGGATGACTTCTCAATTCTCCCGAGAAAGTATGGAGGTCCACGGCATCGGACTGGTGTGTTTTACCCGTCCCTCTTGCTGCGTCACGCTGACATGGATAGATTGAAAAACTCTTCGATGTTGCTTGCTCACTGACCGACGTGCTATCACTTCTCCCACCAAACCCCGACCCCTTCCAGCTTGGTCCTCGCGACTACCTTCATGATTTCATGACTCTTCTTTCCGTGCTCCGTCACGGGGACCACCGTTTCCTGCCTCTCTTACTCGCCAAGGTTAACGATGTCCTCCCGCGACTTGTCAACCCGATGCTTCAGACAGTACCCGATACGTCATCGAATACGTGTGCTGATGTCGACATCTTTGATGGGTTTGGCAATGCTGGAATTGGTGTCCCTTCGAACTTCCCCGGCTACAACGGAAACGGCACCAGCGGAGGCGAGTTCAAGACGGAGCCCGACACCGACTTTAACGGGAACGCCATCTCTGGCATACCTCATTTTGACAAGAGGGTCGAAGAGCTTGCTTCGCCAATTGAAAGCAACACGAGCTCTTCGGTGATGCGGAGTCCAGCTGAGTATTCCGGGCTCGGGCAGTATCAAGGCTTTCCCGACATGGGTCCCGGTGGCATACCCAACGACTCAGGCATGCACAGTCACACGGGAAATTTCGGAGAAGGTGTTGCAGGTGGCGGCAGGCACCACCTGGATTTCAAGCGCGAGTTTGAGGGCACGATGAGTGTCTTGAGTGCACACCGGCAAGGCAATCCTCAGATGGCGGGCAATAGGATGGAAGCAAGGCGGCCTCCCTTACGGCAAGGAAGTGGCAGTAGCTACGGCATGCCGATTCCACGAAGCGCGCCGGATCATTTCGGACATCTGCCGCGGGCGAATAGTGGAGCAAGTGTCGACCTGGGGATGAATCCGGATGGGGGTGAGATGCCATTTCGGTGAGCCGCGAGACACGAGCGGTACCAACATACGGAGGGCACCCCAAGGCAAGGCGAGCGGGTGAAGGTCGCTATCAGCCGTGGGTTCTTGACTAATGTCCGGCCAAACGAGCCCTTGACTGGATCAACACGGACGGTCTTGAAGGGTCGGATGGTCAGCACATGGCTAGTAGTACAGCCCTCACCACACCTCCGGCACGGGAGCATGAGTATACTTTTCGGTGTATCACCCCTCGGCACACGAGATTCAGCACCAAGAGGATGATTGTAGACGAGGAGGGCTACAGTGATGGCGTTTGGGCTGGGTCTGGTCGTTGCAGTCACGACAAATTTATAATGCATCAACGTTTTTATTTCACACCACAGGTCTGTTTTGTATATTTGAAAGCTTATTATACCTTTTTTATAATCATAAGCTTTATAAGTTAGATAAGATTTATAACCCCTTTTAATAAAGATGGATCGCTAGAGAATCAGAAGACGTTTTTATTCTATTACTCAATTGAGTTTTGTCACAGCCGGGATCGGCTTTCGCTTAGCCTTTCGAAGATGTTTTTAAGAAAGGGAGCGGCGACTTTAGCTTCGCCTCCCTCTTATGCATTATCTAATTCGTCTTATTAATTTTTGTTTTAATTTTTTGGGGGGGGGGAGAGGGGTGGAAAGTGGACTTACTACTAAATGCGCTCCAGCCTACTACGTCGCAGGCGTAAGTATTACCCCTCGAGGGTATGGATAACAGGGGGTTTAAAGTGGAAACTAAACTTTTAAGGCACCCTCGAGGGGTAATACTTAGGCCTGTACCGTGGTATTTTCTAGTAGTGCGCTACAGTAAAGTTGGGGAGGGAGGGGGGGTAGGGTAGGTGTGGAAGGGGGGTTTTTTTTTTCCTTATTTATCTTATCTACCTTAGGTATCTAGGTAGGTATCTATCTAAGTAGGTACGTAACTGTGGAATAGGGAACATGTCGTGGAAAGCGGAGTTGAGCGATGGGGGGGGGGGATTTTCGAAAATTATAGGTGAGGAGAATTTTGTTTGTGTGTGCTTGCTGAATGGGTGAGCGGGTGAGCGTTGTTGGTGGTGGTGGTGGTGGTGGTGGTGGTGGTGGTGGTGGTGGTGGTAGCGGTGGTGAGGTTTGGGATGGGGTGGGGTGGGGTGGGATGGGTGGATACGGCGGTAGGGTAGGTAGGTACGGGATCTGTAAGGTGTTTGTTTATCTGTTTAGGTAGCGAGGTAGATGGGTAGGTAGATGGGTAGGTAGATGGGTAGATGGGTAGGTTGGTTGGTAGGTAGGTAGGTAGGTAGGTAGATAAGAGAGGTAGGTACCTAGGTCTCCTGAACCTACCTACTTTCTGTTCTGATCGTGGTGTCTGTCGATTATTGGCTTTGTGATCTTGAGGGGCGGGTGGGTATTCTATCTCCTTCTAGCTAGGTAGGTAAGTAGGTAAGTAGCTAGGTAGGTAGGTATTGAGATTTAGGTGCGGAAATACGACTTGGGTGGTGGTTATGTAAGCTTACCTAGGGTAGGTAGGTATACCGGTAGTTACCTAGGTAGTTAGTAGGTGCTCTTCGTTGAAGTCTAGGTACCGAGGCGAGAGGTTCAGCGCTCTCTCTTTTTCTCTCTCGTTGCCCTCTTTCCGTACGTATCTACCGGTATCCCTACTCCTCTACAGCGCTATGCGCTACAACCAGTTTTTCTCTTTCCCGAAAAAGAAATCTCCTGGTTTTCTATGGCGTCTTTCTTTTTCTTCTGGGGGTTATTATCCCACCTGACTGACTGACTCTCTCTCTGTCTCTCTCTCTCTCTTCCTCTAATTTAAAAGTCAATACACGCGTCATCAAGGGGATCAACTAGGTGCCTGTTCGTCGGCAAAGCGCACGCATGTCTACGGTAGGTACGTAGTACTTACCTACTTCCCTATTCATATACGTACCCCCCGCCACCCCCCCCCCCCCCAGATAGCCCATCATCCTGGCAGCCAGCGCTGCTGCTGGAATTTTGGAAAGAAGTCCTGACGCTACTTACCGTTCGTTAGCCATGCCAAGAGATCCTGCACACCTTACGTCGCTGAAGAGTTTCAGACCGGGAGGCCCCTCCGGCCTCCGGGTGGAAAGGTGACGGCGGAGCGGAGGCGGGCGTGAAATTTAATTCATTTTTCGAAAGAAATTTTTTTTCTTTCTCATTACGTGGCTGTTGGTCGTTCTGCTGCTACCTTGGGCCTTGCAAGTGCTGCTACATGAGGTATGATGGATGTGTTGGGGGCTAATTTTGCGCTGTTGCTGAGCTGTTTGGAAATATGTGGATGTGGATGTGGATGTGGAGGGGGATGAGTCCTCTGCTTGCTGGATTGATTTCACTGCGTCTCTTTTTTTCTTTTTTTCTTTTTTTGGAGGTTCTGCTTGGGGCTGTGATGAGATGAGGATGGGTTAGAGGCGGTGTTATTGATGGGGATGCCTCTCCCATAGTTGCTGCAGTGCACGTCGATACGGAAATTTGGGAGGGAAAATCATATCCCGTGATCGGATCCAGTGGATTTTGATTACGGAGTACATGGACTGGGGTTTGGAGCTCCAGTGGCCATGATAGAGTACGGATCTCGATGTCGAGATCGAGGACTTCGTATCGTCCTTCGTTTTCTCATTCTTGATTTGAGAATGGCCGAGGCAGGAAGGGAGCTTAGGGGGAGACGTTTTCTCATCCGGTTGATGAAGAGGCCGACCCGAGATCCGATGACTTGCCATCCTAAGTATCTTGTCAGACTGCCCTCTCCATCCTCCATCCAGCGTATTGCTATGCTGCAGGAACGAGTGCTGGCTGGGGAGTCCCCGAGTCCGAGACCCGATGGGTGGGCGAGTCCTCCTCCTCGGACCATCGACAGAGCAGCAGGTATCCCTTCCTATTTATACATTGAGATGTTCCCTGTGCGCACATTAACCCGATGCCGTGTCTTCCTGGCGATGCGCAAGAGGTGTGTCACGATCGACTCCTCGGACCTGAAAAGCACGTACACAAAGCGTCGAATCGCGAGGCGGACGAAGGACGGATATATACTGTGGCTTTTCTGAGAAGGGATGAAGTGATGTCATGAACGAGTTTCATGATTCGACAACAGTGGAGGGTTGAAATCCAAGTGGAGGGGATGTCCTAGTTTTGGACATGAAGAAGTGGCTAGAGATGGGATGGACGTTGCACTGCTGTTTAAGGGTACGAGGTCGGTGAGAGTCGCCTGTCGGTATAAGTATACATTGCGTCGTGCGCTCGCTGGGCCGAAGTAACGCATCTTTTCGATATCGGATGTTGGGCGTTTGAGAAGAAGGACTGAGCACCACTGGACCCAGAGATTCCGTACTAAACAGCTAGAGCAAAAGCATTGGAGCAGGTTGACCGACGAGATACACACGCCTACATGCAATTAAGACATATCGAAGCCCAGCACCCTCAGTTCATCAACTTCTCCTTCCCGCGAAAAGAGGAGTCACTGAAGCTCGAGATGGCGGCAGTGACGGTGCCTCCCGCTACACTCACAACCACGGCCACCGAGTCGTCTCCTTCAGACGTCGCTCCTCGCCCCCTCCACCTCGACACGGAAGGGAAATGGGTCTCGCCCGTGCCTGCCGCATCCACTGGACCCACTGAGCCCACCGAGCCGCCTAAAGTCGTCACGCCAGCAGCCGCGCCAGCAGTCCCCCCGCCAGTCCTTACAGTGCCCAAGCCGGCCGAGGTCTCACCCGGCTACGAAGCTTCCACCTCCAGCACATCCTCCTCGCCCTCCTCCAATCCCGGGCACTCCATCAAGTCCACACGCTACGAGGACCTGAAGAGCCTGAAGAGCCCAGACGAAGACAAGAAGAGAGGCAAGGGGAAGAAGGTGAAAGAGGTTGCCTTCTTCGCCTTCGTGCTCCTGCCGCTTAGCTGTTGGTACACGCGAGGCGGGAAGCGGCTCGGCCCTGTTGCGAAGCCAGGGAGGCGGGTGGCGGATGACGAGGAGACGAGAGCTATCAAGGCCCTCCCGGAGCTGAGGAGGCCAGCGACAGGGAGGCCGGGGACGGGGACGGGGAGGCCGGCGACGGGAGTGCGGACTGGCTTTGGACCGGTGCCGAACGGGCACATCCATCCTGCTCGACGAGACAGCTTTGCAGCTGCTCAGGACCGGAGTAACAGCTTCTCCCACTTCTCTCAGAGCCGTGCCCGCAGTCGCAGCTTTACGCAGGGACACGGACGAGATGAGAGCTTCGGGCAGATGTCGTCGGCGTCGGCGTACGCGCGGAGCAACAGCTTTACGCAACGAGGAGGGGTGGGGGGGAGGAACGATGTTTTCGGGAGGGCGCCGGGCAAGGGCGGGAACTCGCTGAGGCGGGATAGCTGGTCGGGCCCGGCTGGGATCGAGAGGAGGGAGGTGCTGGATTATGGCGTTGATCGGGGCGCGGACCTGGATGCCTTGGGGTTGGGCTCTCGGAGTCGGTCTGGGGAGCCGGTGCCGTTGAGGAAGAGAAAGATGGATGGGCTTGCCTAGTACTAATTGTGTGTTTTTCTTTTTCTTTTCTTTTTTCGAATGGGGGGATAGGAAGGGGGGGTTGGATTTGGATTTGGATTTGGATTTGGATTTGGATTTGGATGTTTCTGCTGGATCAATCGCTTTGCGTAGGTGTCTGGCGTTGGTTCGGCTTTCGAGATCCCGATATGGTCTTGACGTGCTGCTGCTGCTGCTGCTGCTGTCTACTCACATATTCGAGTTAATAATGAGCGCTCGCTGTATACAGGGCATTTCAGAGGCAGAAAGAAAGAAGAGCGGGAAAAAAAGGACGGTTAAAATAGCTCGAATCAAATACCAAATACCAAATTATTCAATATTCAATATCCCATAATCCAAGCATACCCCGCCATCAGACAATCAATCAATACTCACCGTCCTTTCTTTTCGTACATGCACTCGCTCAACTCAACTCAACTCATTCTCATGAAGGCGAAGGCCTACAGTGAGCGCGACGTAGCTAGCTTTCACAATTTTTTTTTTTAAAAAAAAAGAATTCCCCCGATCTCACTTGAGATCTAAATCTCCTCTCCCAGGGGCCGGGAAGGGGAGTGAGTGAGTATGCTTGCTTTTTGCTTTCTGCTTTTTGCTTTTTACCTTTCTATAAACAAGGCCTCCTCGCCTCTTTCCGCAGTAGAACGAAGGAGGACCCTATCTAGTGCGTTGAAATCTCGGTGGGACCAAGCAGGAGATAGACAGGAAGAAGAGAAAGGGGGTAACTTCATCATTTCTATCCAATAAGGTTTTTTTTTCCTTTTTTTTTTAAAAAAAAAGAGTCACCACGAGTGTTGCTGGTACTGTATCGTTGTGTTGCGCTTGTTTGTATTGCCTATGGTACAGTAGCGTGTACTGTACTTCTTTTTACCACCACTTCTCGCTCAGGACCCTGCTCTCGTCCATTCCTTCCACTCGGGTAGCGAGATGGACAAACTCGTCTGTCATCCGAGGCACGCCGCAGACGTAGCATACCGTCCCAGCCCTCTCGCTTGCGCTACTACCCAACGCATCCTCCAAATCACTCTTTCGGATCCTCCTCTGCTCGACCGTGAAACCCTGAGCCTCTTCTGCAGCCGCCGCCGCCGCCGCCGCCGCCTCGCCTGCGCCTGCGCCCGTCACAAACAGCCTCAACTCTCCCTCGCCACCGAGCCTCGCAAGCAACCGCCTCAGCCTATCCAAGAACAGGATCTCCTCGCTCGCCCCCCCCGCCCCCTGCAGTGCCCGAACGGAATACAGAAATCGAACGTCGAAGCCCCGTCCGCCGGCTCCGCCCCGGCTGTGCTCCTCCGCCTCGGCGATGGAGCCGAGCATGCTGATCAGCGGGTTGATGCCCACGCCACCGGCCACGAACACGACCCTCCGGATCCCTGCCTCGGGCACGTTCGCAGGCGGCCAGACGAAGCCGCCTCCGACGCGGACGGCGAGTTCCGAGTTGATGATTCGGCACGCGGGCTGCCAGAGCCACGACGCGGGGAATGCTGGCTTGTCGTGGGCCGACGCCTGCGGTTTCTGGACCGCGAGTTCGAGGTGGGGTGTTGACGGGGTGCATGTCAACGTGAAGCCGCCAGGGGAATAGATGGTGGGGATGTGCAGGTCGACCCATTGGCCGGGTTGAAACTGTTTTCTTTCCATGTCAAATCAAGTGACATTGGTCTTGAAGTATTTTCATATATTTTTTTCTTTGGGGGAGGGGGGGGGGGGGGGGGGGGCAAAGTAGAGGAGGAAGTAACGCCATCCTGGCGTCAACACGGAGGAGGGGAGGACAGACCCTGATAGGCTCTTTATCAACTGGACTGAGTCGCAGGAGACGGATCGTTGAGTTGACCTGGGTGATCTGCGACAGGACTATGCGATGCAACCTCTGTTTCGGTCAGCGAGGTGTTGATGCCGTGGAAGCTGGATCAAGAGAGCTTACGTACATTATGCCGAGGTTCGGCAGCAGTGCGCTCGATATGGGGAATAGCAGCTTTGACTGTTGCCATTCTCCGGACGAGAGTCCCGTAGACAAGACGGAGGTTGGAACGAGTCGGGGGCTTCCTTGACATAAACATGGGTGTTGTTGTCGAGAGGAAGTAAACAGAGTTCAGATGGGGTCCGGTTGAGCTGTTTGTTAGCCGAAGGGGCTGAAAGCCACGGATTGACTGGGTCCAGCTTCATTGGAAGAACAGATGGAACATTAAGCGTAGAATATACCCAGCTATGAATTAAGTTAAGCGAGAGAGAGAGAGATAGGTATCCTCCGCTACCCAAAAGTATCTCGGAGCTGGCTTTCAACCTATATACGACACGTGATCACGCCCCCTATTGGTTAAGCGATCGATGTGTTGATCGGAGAGGTTTCAAAATCGTTTTGATTGCCTGAAGGAAAGCTGCGAATCAAAGCTTGGTTTTGTAACTATCTAACCACTTGCGCAATAATTTATAGCGAGCTTCGCCTGACTTTGAAAGTCATTTAACAGCCACTTGCTGCCTGACACAAGTACACAGTCGAGGCGAGCCTGTTCACAGGGCAATGCAAAAGGACGAGCTCTCAGCGCTTCCCTGGAACAACAAAACACCCCTTAGAGCGCGTCGCCAGCACATCAAGCCGGAAGAATGGTCTAAAGAGCGAAGTTTATTGGTATCTCGATGCGTACAAACACAACTCCCTCGCTCCCTTCTTACGGGCTCAGCCTCTCAATCTTCCAACCGCCTTCCTCCACCTTGGTGTATTGGAACCGATCATGCAACCTGCTCTCTCTTCCTTGCCAGAACTCCACCATCTCCGGCTTGATCCTCAGCCCACCCCAGAATTCCGGCACGGGAATCTTCTCCACCCCCTCGAACTTCTCCTCGATCTCCTTCACCCACCCCTCCAACTGCTCTCTGCTCTCAAGCACTTGGCTCTGCCGACTAGCCCACGCACCCAGTTTCGACCCGCGAATCCGCGTATCGTAATACTTCTGGCTTTCTTCACTCGTCAACCTCTCCACCTGTCCTTCAACCCTAACCTGCCTCTCCAGCTCTCTCCACCAAAAAGTCAGACTGGCCCATTTATTGCCCTCTAGATCCTTCGCTTTCTTCGACGTCCCGAAATTGGAGTATATTACGAAGCCGGTCGTATCCAGTTCTTTTAAATATACCATCCGCGAACTAACTCTGCCAGATGGTAGGAGGGCTGTAGACAAGCATACGGTTTCGGGCTGATGCACCCCATTGGACTGCGCGTGTGTGAACCAGCTGTGAAATTGTGTGAAAGGGGAGTTAGGATCTAGGTCGGATCTTTCAAGGGCGCCTTTGGTGTATTGGTCGGCTTGGGAATTGGTTTTGTCGTTGGCGGGTGCAACTGGAATGTGTTAGGAATGTGAGTCAAGGATGGAGGGGGCGAGGTTGCAGTTTTACAGATTAGCTTGGAAGTGTTCTGAGGTGGGTTGAGAGCCATTTTGAGGAGGCTTGGGTTATACAGACGATTGAGCGTTTGACGCATTGGTGAATTGGAGGGAGAGAGACTCTGGAAAGTCCAGTAAGGTTGTTTTGATGACGAAATCGATTTGGCGCTAATTTAATGGGGTTCAGCCTCGTTCAGCCTTACCCCTCCATACCTTCACTGAGCTTTCAAAGTCACAAGATGCATTCGAATTCATTGAGCCGATATCGTCAGGTCCATCAGCGAATTTTGATGCCAGACCTGAGATACTGGAACGCCATGAGAATTTGCTGCTAGCTCGTCGTTTCTCAGGCTACCCTCATAATGCAACAATCAACTGGCAGAAGTCCTCACACCTAGCGGATATCTATACACCAAACGCCAAACCATGCAAAGTCTATCGTTCCTCAATCCAGGCTGGGAGCTAAAGTTACCAGACTGAACCTCATCTCTCCCTCGCCGACCTCTGCTTCTCTGTTCAAGAACTTCCGGACCCCCAAGTCCAAAGCTTTCTCACACAGAACATCTTCTTCTGGGCTCAGAACTCCTCTATCTAAAGGTCCCTTTCTTCGTCCGTCCATTTCCCATAAGTGATTGTTCTCATCCTTGACAAAGCACACGTAGTGCAATTCAACATTTTCCTCAGCATCCGGTGCATGGCTTTGTCCTTGGCTCGCAGCTCTCTGGTGGGCGTTCTCCAAAGCCTGGGAGTTGTATAGCAGATCCGCTCGCTCGACAGGGTTCAACGGTATAGCATCATTGATCAGCTTCTCTAGATCAGAACCCCCTTCTGTTATACTATTAGTAGTTATCAGAGCCTGCTAGCAGGCCATCTTACCGATGAATACCCTCGCGCTGCCATTACTGACAGCATGCAAGATCCCAATCAACCCACACGCATTCCTGATCGTCTGCTTGTACCAAATGACTGGCTCTCCAGTACCTTTCCCCTCGTACTCAGCCTTGTCGCTGTCTTCTTGTACGCGAAAGGTTTCGTATGATCTGCTGACTGGGAAGACGAGGAGGAGGGCGTTTGCAGGGCGGGGGACGAAGGCGAGGAGATCGGGGTCTTCGATGCTGAAGACGTCGTGGAAGGAGAGGGCATTTGAGAGGCCAAGTTTATGAGCCAGGGCGGACATTACTTCGGGGTTGTTCTCTGCACATTTGAATTAGTATAAGCTTTTGGGAATGCGATGGAGCTGGGGATTACCAATGGGTACGAAAGTCTTTCGGCCCTTAGGGACGTCTGGGTCATCGACGACTGGGGCTTGAGCTTCTGCCATATTTGCTGTCTTCCACCTAAGGCAGAGGTGGTGATCAGACTCAAACAGTCTGCAGTAGGAAGATTCGCTTTGGAGCTACTTGTGCAGAGAAGCTCGACCATACCCCGCCTAATCGGAAAAACCCCGCCGACGCTAGTCCCATATTTTAAAGTCTCGGTTACGGATTACCTGGTCGAAAATAAGCAATAACGACCAAATGAATCACCAACATCGTCTCGCCAGTTTCTAATCAATTCGCACTTCAACTTTACATTGCGACTATACCTTAAAGGCAGATAGGGGGTTATTTAAACCGTCAGCTAACAATCCGATGACGGTCTCTTTAAGAGACGATTCCAAGAGGTTTGCATAGCTAGTGGATCACCCTAGGCCGATACTTAAAATTGAGTAGAATCTGAAAACAAACGATTTAAATTATTTAAATCGTAGCTAAAATAAAACTGTTTTAATCGATTAAATCGTTTTTTATAAGAGCTCGTCTTTTCGTTAAAAGATTATTACTAAAATAAGATTGTTTTAATCGATTAAATAGTCGTTTATAAAAGTCGGTCTTTTTACGAAAAGATCGTTTTAAGACCGTCTTGTGGCCGTTCTATGGCCGTCCCAAGGCCGTCCCCGAACTTGAAACCGTCCCGGAAAACGTTGATTAATAAGCAAATAATTTTTTTTTTTTCAATTACTTAGCAGTCTACCCTTTATTACCTATAGGTATACCACCTTCTTATCATACCACCACCTCTACAGGCGTCTAGGGCGCACATGCGCGGGTGAACTTTTACTGAATCGATCGATTCCGATTATAAAACATTTAAAGCGTTGATATATAAGTCGTGGCAGCGATACCGAGAAATATGTTAGCATCGAATTTATTAAATTATTCTTAAAACGATTTTATTTAAAAAACGATTTTTATTTATAATTATATTTTCTTTAAAATAATTATCGAACTATTTCAATTTTTTTAAATGAGCTTATTAGTAAGCCTATTTTAAAAATATAGACGGGGACGGCCATAGGACGGCCGTGGGACGGTCCCAAGCTCGGGGACGATCAAAAAGGTGAACTATTCTTGATTTGTAACTAGTACTGATTTTAAACGGTCCAATAATCGTCTTTTATAAAGAGGGTCAGAGGACCGCTCAAATGACCCCCTACCTGCCTTTAAGGTAATGTTACTATGATCAAACACTTATCAACTGATGATAGACCGTAGATCTTGATACATTCTGTTTTTCAAGTGTCAGTACACTTCGCCTCCGCCTTTCGTCGCTGAAGTTGAATGATCTCCGTAATGAATCTGCAACTCGTCTAAAGGTGGTGATATTCTTTAGGTTTGTATCGAGCTCTACAGCCCGTCTAAGAAAGTTTGTCAAAAGATCTTCATGAACGGCCATACATAGAATCGTTGGTAGTGAATTATTAATTAAGAGCGACAAGGGATAACATAGCTATAAGTGAATTGGCCATGCTAACCAATACGCATATTCTAAAAGTCCCTTTGACCTTCGACCTACCTAGAGGAGAAAAGTGGTATCGTTTATTGCTATTTACTAAAAGCGTCCATCGCGATATCAACTTGAAGATATCAAAAGAATCAGGCCGTCCCGTCATACCTATACCCAAGGCCGCTCCCGCTCCTAACGCCATCCATGTGCTTCCCTTTAGCCCGTTTGAAAATTGCCGGCGCACCCTCCTACTCAAACATAGTCATCTCGCTTCAAATATCAACTATCACTGTGGCGCATCAAGTGCTCTCGCATGGCCTCCTTCCACGATAATTTGCTCGTCAATCCTCTTCTCCGTGTCTCCATATTCGACACGCTTCCAAGTACGGATCCGAGCCTCGTTCATATCGACATCGAAGAATCGGACACGACGGTGATAGCCACCGTAGCCCCCGTAGCCTCCGAACCCGGCGCCTCCTGCGTAGCACATCCACATTCGAGGCTTGGAGTCGTTGCTTGTTAAAGAGCAGTACTCGTTGGCGTGATCATGGCCACATGATACCATTACGACACCTTCATCGACCAAGGCATCTCTAAAACCAGAGTTGAAACCCGGAGCTGTGACGCCTTCTCTCCATGCTCCCACTCGGGGTAGAGTATCATCCCGGTACTCGGGCAACGGGATATGAATGAAGGCCAAGTTCATGTGGATATGAGTATAACCCGCATGCTGCTTTTTCAACCCTTGGGCAGTAGCTTTGAACCAATCAATCTGGTTCTTCTTCAGCCAATCGTATCCCTTGAAGTTACGCTCGTCGGGAGAGTAGGCATGTGTGTCTAATAGGTAGACTGTAAGAGCTGAGTGCTTAGACCCTCCTTGTGCCAGGACTTCGATGTAGTAGTTGCCTACGCCGTCGATGTCCTCGGGACCTGCCATTGAAAGCGAGTATGGGAGAGACTCTATCAGAGACATTTGCCCAGCTCGAGGAAGGGATGTGGAGCCCTCATCATCATGGTTACCGAAAATCGTAGCATACGGGATCTTGCGTTTGATAAAAAGCTCAGCGTATTTGAAGATTGCCTAGAACATAATTAGTACTGCGGCTGAATGCCCGTAACGTCTAAGTTGAGATGAAATCAAAGCCACTTACGCTTTGAGCATCTGGGGCCGTGTCTCCGTTGATTTGGTCACCGCTCAACACCACCAAATCCGGCTTCTCTTCATCCAGAAGTCTCCCCACAAATTCCAAAGTCCTGGGATCAGCTTCACATTTGCCCCCATTATGGCCAACAGGCATTTCGTCCCTGCAGTGTCCGGTTCCAGTGCTCAGGTGAAGATCTGCGACCTGCATAATCTTGAACTTCCCATTCTCCCCAATTCTTGGCACTGGTCTCGGGTGAACGGCCTGCTTGCCTCTTCTTACGCTCAACCTCGCCTCGTGGCCCTCGCCGCTGGTATCCAGAAGCATAGGCGTCCCAACCATCTGCCACCCCTCTCTCGGGTCTACAGCATCGGCCCCGAACAACACATCCACCGCCGTGACTGCTTGGTGAGAATCGCTAGCATGTCGGTCTGCGGATCGTTTCAGCCAAATTCCAGCTGGCCTGGCCTCCCATCTCGCGTCTCCCTCCCCTTTGATACCTGCACTAGGATCCAATCTCCCCACCGTAACATCCACGATCACTTGGTCTTCGGGCAACAGCTCCTCCTCCTTCTTGCGCTGAATATGCACGAATGCGCTGCTGACCCATCCCTTACCCAAGTACAAATCCTTCTCTATCCGATGCCAAATATTCGGGTCAAGCTTGCAGGATGTGAAGACATTGATGCGCGAGCAGGAGGTTACAGTGATATCTGTAATGATGAGGCCAGGGTGGTGTGCTGGCAGAGCGTTGTGGATGGCGGAGGGCAGGACTCGGAACTGGTTATCAAGAAAAAATATGGCTAGGATGGCCATGAAGGCCACAATACCCAGCTGGCATACCGTGCGCACCTATGCAAGGTTAGAATTTGTCTTGATAACACACTGGACAGGACGTCGGCAGTCTTTGCGTACAATCCTTCTCGTCATCTTGCAGGAACTGCTAAGCTGACTGCCGCCACAATCGATAATTTAGATGGTGTCCAAGGGCATGAGCTTTTCATTCGTAGAGCCGATTAAACGGGCATCGCGACTATCACGGCATTATTGACCGCAAGTTTGAACGTTTGCAGCGGCAGTGGAAGAAAGGAGTGACGCGTGTGTTCCGGTCGTGGCCAAATTTTGGGGCCCACATCCCCAGATTCTGTTGGAGGCTAAAATGACCCCTGTCATGAGCTCACTGTCATGGATGGCATGATCTCGTGATCAACTCACTTGACCATAGCAAAGAGGTTGGGAAGCGAGTGTTTGAATTGAAGAAGGCGGAGAGAGTGGCTGTGTTTACAGTAATACAAGACATGTTGACACTCCATCATACAATCGTTGGCTCCGAAATTGAAGCAATTCGCCGCCATACACCTACAAAACCTCCACCTGCAACTCTCAATCCAACCTTCGGTCTGCATACCACATCTTCTCCACCGCCAGTAGGCTCAGTTAAGCCCATATCGACAACCACACCTTCCATCGTATTCTCAGGCACAGCTTGTGCTTCATTCATGTCGTATTTTGGTTGAGACCTTGGCTTGACGAATCTCACGTCCCATTCTCTTCCTCCGGTCCCTATTCCTCCACCGATTTCAAGAACCTTTTCCAGGAAGAGTGGCAAGTTAAGCTGCTTTGAGCGCAATGCACAAGCATTAATCTGTGTGATGCTTGGACAAAATGCGAGCAAGGTTCCGTTAGGCTTTATAGCCTTGCTTACGATTTCGAAATAGTCGTGGGTTAAAGGAAGATCAAGAATTGCGTGGTCTAAGAATGGCTTATCTGTAGTTTCCTCCAGTCTTGTGGAGAGGTAATCTTCGATGGTGCCTGTGTGGAAGTCGATGTGTGGGAAGTAGATGCCCTTTCGGAAGTTTCTGACTACCTGCTTGGCGTGTTGCGAATGAGCAATATTGGTGTCCAGGGTATGAATAACTGCTCTTCGAGAAATTTTCCACAGGTCAAAAGCATCCAAAGCGTCCTTATCAGGATTGTTGCCGTCCTCGAGTATAGGAGTAGCTGCGGGTATATCAGGACTGGGAGTATTCCCAGCATGAATTGCTCTTGCAAGGTGCAGAGTCAAAGCCCCATGGCCCGTCCCAGCTTCGAATATCTCCAATCTATCATCGTTCGCGGAATGTGGTCGAGGCGACGGTGGGTGAAGGTCCAGGAGGGAGACGATAAGACTGGCATCTTGAGAGTAAATCTACTATCAGGCGGTTAGAATCCGCAAATAAGAAGGGGAGAGTACCTTACAGGTGTGACAAGTCGCGGAGTAGAGTCTGTATATTCGGCAAGAGTTGGTTCGAGTACCCGATATGCAACGCCTTTCTTCGACACGACTACCTCTCGCAATTCTCTTCCAATGATGTTGTCATGTTCAACAGAATCCTTCCATTTGGTCGAGGAGATTTGGGTTTTCCGACCTGGACGAAGCTTGCCAGTGACAATTGGCGCACTCGGATTGTTTCGATGCTTCAAGAGGACAATATCATGTTCTAGACACAGTTAGCTAGCTGGTGTTGTAAAGCACTTGGCAGACAGGACAAAAAAATACTAAGTAGCAGTACCTCTCACAACTTTCATGGAATACAGTCGCGTCCTACATGAACAGTAGGATAATGCATTTGCATTTGGTCTGTCAATAGCCCGGAGTAAACCCAGGGAAAGCCGTGGGGGAGGACTAAACATCTGGATGCTGGAGATGGTTCAAGTGCAGGGCCCTCTTAAGAACAACAAGATTCAGATCAGATGCATGAGCAAGCGCCGGCAGCCTCAACAGGGAGCCCCCTGCTGGGATCACTACCCCACTCAACATACTTCAGACTAACCTCCAGATCTCCAGGACCGGAATCCACAGTGCGTCCGTTCTGAACTGCTATCCTTCTCCTCTACGGAACTTGAGCTGGAACTCCATTAGTCCTCATCTATAGCTAGTCAAAATGCCTACAGAAATCGAAGGAACCCACGATCTTGGTGATGTCTCTCTCTACACAAAGTCCTGGAAGGTAAGTTTTGACGCAGCTCCAAGACAACTTCAACTGACCTGAAAGCCTGACGGAGATGCTGTAGCCAAGCTCATCTTCATCCACGGCTTCAATGATCATTGCAACCGCTACTATGAGCTATTCCCTACCCTAGCTTCTCGAGGAATCGAGACCCACGCCTTTGATCAGCGAGGCTGGGGACGCTCTGTGAAGACTCCTTTTCAGCAAGGTCTCACAGGCCCTACCACTCAAGTCATTGCAGACATTGTATCATTCATCAAGACACAACTCCCTTCGCCAGTACCACTGTTTGTCATGGGGCATTCGATGGGTGGAGGCGAGGCAGTGATGTTGGCTTCCGACCCTCTGTATGCGGATCTCGCCAAGGATGTTCGAGGATGGGTGTTAGAGAGCCCCTTCATTGGGTTTCCGAAGGGTCATGAACCTCCAGGACTGACAGTGTTCGTTGGAAGAGTGGCTGGGAAGCTGCTCCCACACATGAAAAGAGCTTCAGCCCTCCCTGCTGAAAATTTGACTAGAGATCCAGAGGTTGTGAAGTCTCTTCTTGAAGATAAGCTGTTGCATGGCAATGGGACTCTGGAAGGACTGGCTGGTATGCTGGACAGGACTTCGCAGTTGAACCAGGGCAAAGTCAAGTTGAACCCCTGTGTGAAGGCTGTTTGGCTTGGACATGGCACCGAGGACAAGGGAACCAGCTATGATGAGAGCAAGAAGTGGTTCGAAAGACAGACCCAGCTTGAGGATAAGGAGTTCAAGACGTATGAGGGATGGTCCCATCAGTTGCACGCAGACTTGCCTGAGAACAGATCGGTGTTCGCAAATGATGTTGCCAACTGGATCCTGGCAAGGGCTGTAAATGGGGAGAGTAAATCAAAGTTGTGAAATGGTCTCAATGGCGTTGGGATTGGGAATGCTTCTGGGTGGAACAACGACCGATATCTTTCAACAAATGACACGATAAAAATGCTCTCGACATGTTCTTGATGACTCATTAATCTAGGTGTTCCGCTCATCCTGTAGCTTCCTCTCTTCTGCCTCAGTCCTCCTCTGCAGAATCTCATCCACAATCCCCATCTCCAAAGCCTCTTCCGCACTTAAAAACCGATCTCGCTCCATCAACAGTTCGATATCGTCCAGTGTATGCTCCTTAGTCAAATGCTTCTGGAAGATCTCATTCAGCTTTCTCCGTACCCTCAATATCTCCTGTGCATGAATCGCGATATCACTCGCTTGCCCAATATACCCTCCACTTGGCTGATGGACCATAATACTGCTATGAGGCAAACAGAACCGCTTCCCCTTTTCCCCGCCACACAGCAACAAACTACCCATCGAAGCAGCTTGGCCCACGCAGACCGTCGATACGGGAGATCGAATATAGTTCATCGTGTCATATATCGCGAGACCGGCTGTGACTGAGCCGCCTGGAGAATTGATGTAGATAGTAATGGCTTTTTCTGGCGCGTCGGATTCGAGGTACAGGAGTTGGGCTACAACGGCTGCGGACATGACTTCGTCTACCTGACCGTTCAGGCAGACTATCCGTTCTTGAAGGAGTTTGGAGAAGATATCTGATTGCCGATAACCACCTCCCTATACAGTCAGTATGTGCATAGGAGATATGGGATAATGTGTGAGACTCACGATTGTCTCTGTGATCAACGGCATCGGGGTCCAGGCTTTATGAGGTTCCATCCGGCAGGGAATTGAGGCGAAACTGCGCAGACTCGAGCGGAAGACATAGCGAGCAGGCGCTCGGAGTATTCTTGTTGTGAACATGTTCATGGTTGAATTTGGGTGAACTGGAACTGGTCGCATAGAGTTAGGGTTTGGCAGACGCGATGCGGAAGAGATCCGCGCCAATTCTTCTCCTCCTATAAGTAGGTACTTATTTTCCACCTGGCTAAAGTACAACATCATCCTAAACAATCAACAACAAAGAATGTGGCATGAAGAGATGCGCCCTCTTCTCCGGTAGCATCACTGGAAAGTGCTCTGCGACAGCGACTCGAATTTCTTCATTGCACGCATCACATAAGCCTCGAGAGCTTCGAACAAGATGGGAGCTTCCACAGCTCAATTCCAGTATTCAGCATAGGGGATTTCTCGAGACACCATTGAAGAAGAGTGAACCATGGCTCTCGCATACTTCGGCGAACTATAATTCAGCTACGCCCCTAGCAGCATACCGTAACACTGCAGTGCCAGTTGGTCGCGGTCCAAGTAGTAGAAGGTGGAATTCGGAAGCCTCGAGCACTCCTTCAGTTGAAAACGGGTCTGTTTCAAATGATTCTCCTGTTACTTTGGAAGCTTCAACAGTCAAACCCCCATCTGATCCCAAAATTGAAGAGGATCAGGACTTAGAACCAACTTTCAAGCGTCGTCCCCTTCCAGTCCCTCCTCTTATGAATCCTGCATTTCTCAAAGCCAGAGAGAAACACAAACTTCGCAAACCACGACCCAGCAAAGAGCCTACCGATTTCCAGCGACAGCTTGCAAAGAACCCCTACGCTCTAGCCCTAGCAACACCTATCCGAAGGTGCCTACTCACCAACGTCAAGCTACCTGCTTATTTCCTGCAAGACTTCATGGTAATGCTAGATCCCCTGACGGAAAAGCCGTGGTATGTGCCAGCTAGTCTATCAGATAAACACCAGCCCCGAAAGGACCCTCCGAGTGTAGACACGGAAGACGAATCGGGGATGGACATCGGGAACGACTACCCGCAACATCACAGGATAGGATTCAAGGTGTACACGCTCAACAGCAAAGTCACTATAGATGCTATGCAAGATATGGCAGGTTATAAGCGCAACACCAAGGATCAAAGGGCATATAGCCAGCAGACTTTTGTCCCCCCGCGGATGCGAGAATTCAAAAGCGCCGTGCGAGCGTATGCCACCTCGAAATGGAGACCAGACATGGGGGATTTCGTTTTTGAGTTGATGGGTCGGCGCATGGTGTCAGCGCTTAAACATCTCTGGGGATTGAAGAGAGGCTATCTGGTAGGGTGCACGGATTGGGATGATGCGTTGAAAAAGCCGCAAATTGCGGCTGTCCTCTGGCTGGGCAAGGCAGGAGACGAGGAGGCGGAAGGGCCGCCTGAGTTTGCGACGCTTGATGTCGGGACCCAGACTTACGACGAAGATGGCCCAGGTTTGGGAAAGAAGAAGCGCAAGGTACCGGTCTTCAACTTGAAGACTTTTCTTGAAACGGAGAAACTGGCTGAGCTGAGAGCACTCGCTCCAAAGAGCGAACTTCTCGTTTTGAAACACAAAAATGCTACAGTGGAGATGCAGTCCAGGCTGTGGAAGCTGCAAGGATATATGGCGCGGCATCAATAGGCTACTGAGGACATTGCTATTGCCAGGCCTTTGTCGAGACGGAATACGAGAAGATAGATCAGTGTAAAAGAACTCGGAACACAAGGTTTGTGGCTGTGGTTGACACCCGAAGCTGGAACTTTCATTGAAGCCAGGCGATCGGATCAGCGGAATGACTTCGAGGAAATCCTGGATGCGTGGGCTCGAGTGGAAAGATCTCCGTTTGTCTCTACCTCAAAATTTTCTGGATGCTTGATGGGGCATATCTCATTGTCATCTTCCTGTTTCCGTCGTCACAGCATCGCTCCGTCGCATCGTTCGCTCTGCTTGTCAGCTTGTTTTTTCTTCGCGTTTCTTTGTCCATCAATGTCGAGAGAAGTTCAAGCCGTTCCTTGACCGGCAGGAGTTTCGATCTTAGTGGGCCGAAAATTCCGAAAATTACATGCATCAAAGACGACGATACGGGCCTGATAAAGCGAAACACCTCGGTATATGCTATGCTAATATGTAATTCCCTGCTTGCATGTTTATCATACCCAGCGAAATTCCACCTGTATTCCTGCAGCTCCGTGATGAAAGCATCGGCAACTGCATGGAGGCCGGAGAGAAGCTCTGATACAAGCAATGATCGCCATACAAGCAAGTATGGTTGTCTCTGAGCCCTGCCTGGAGCTCACCAATCAACCGTTGGGGCTCAGTAGAGGGAGCCAGCGAGGTGTGGGGTCTGGGGATACTAGCCCAGCTGCAAGTTTGGGATGTCTCGGCCAGACTCAGACTGCTTATGCTGTTTTTGCTTCATGCAATTCTCCGGATTTCGAGAAGAAGCCAAGGTGCTACCCCTCGGTTGGCAGGCGCTCCAATCATCAGATTGCAAGACACGAGCTCACTGGGTAATATGGAGCTACGTGGGTCTGGGGAAGGGGACGATGGCTTCGTTTGAGAGCAGTGGGAGGGTACGTTGCGATGCTGGGGTGCTGGGGTAGCAGAGAGTAGATGGTCGCTTGCAGCAAGCAGTGCACCTACCTACATACAGAGGCATGTAACTCGTGCTATCTACCTAGACCGTGTGGGGGGCGTTAAGTCGCCAGATATATCAAGTCCTTCCCATCTTTCGCCGAAGGGAAGCATCGTTTCCTTGTCCCATACGAATCTGGTACCTTCTTCCCCTTCTCCTGCTGCTCGTCTTTTCGCAAGCATGGCCGACTTCAAAACCCCCCCTGAATTCCCCACGGTCGACGAGAAAGAACACGCCGTCACTACGAGCGACTTCAGGGAGAACCCCGTCGCCATCGCCATCGAGATCGCTGAGGAAGTCGACAGTAAAAAGTACTCGCCATGGACGTGGTCTATGCTCCGCCTCTATGGTGTGCTGTTCGTGGCGTACTGCTGTGGGTGTTTGAATGGCTATGATGGGAGCTTGATGGGCGGGTTGAACGGGATGACTTCCTATCAGAAGACTTTCGACATGTGAGTTCATGTCTACTGCATCCCTTGGATTGTTGTAGAATTTGAAAAGGGAAAGTGGAGTTGCTGATTGGAACGCAGGAAGACGTCTGGAAGCTCGACGGGCATTGTGTTTATGATTTATAATGTTGGAAGCTTGGCTGCGGCGCCGACGGTGCCATTTGCGACTGATGTCTTTGGGAGGAGGGTGGGTATGTTTATTGGGTCTGTGATTATCATCATCGGGACTTGTATCCAGTAAGTCGGCTTCGTAGCTGGGCCTGTCTACTCTCTTTTGTTAAAGCTGGTGCTTACAAGGTGAGATAGAGCGACAAGTAAAGCGATGCCGCAGTTTATGGGTGGACGCTTTCTACTTGGTTATGGAGTTTCTTATTGTTGTATTGCTGCTCCGACCTATGTTAGCGAGTTGGCTCATCCGAAGGTGAGACGTTCGGCTTCCAAGTGCTCTTTATTTGGATTTCATTGCTAATTAAATCAGTGGAGAGGGACTTTGACTGGCTTCTATAATTGCATGTGGCCATTGGGAGCTATCATTGCAGGTTGGGTGGTCTACGGTGCCGCATACATCGATGGTAACAATGGGTGGAGGCTGCCAGTGTGGATGCAACTCGGCACCTCTGGTATCGTGGCCGTATTTGTGTTTTTGTTACCCGAGTCTGTTAGTGAACCAATCCCACAATCTCCATCAAAACTTAGCTAACAGCTACATGCAGCCCCGGTGGCTCATCCAGAAGGACCGGCATGAAGAGGCAGCCAATATCCTAGCAATGCTTCACGGCGAAGGCTCGATCAGTCACCCGATCGTCCAGCTTCAGATGAAGGAGATGGTGGCTCAAGTTTCTAGTGAGGTAGCGGATAAGAGGTGGTGGGATTATCGGCAACTGTGGAACACGCAAAGTGATCGCCGCCGTCTTATTTGTGTGCTTGGCATGGCCTTTATGGGACAGGTAAGCACGAAACCTTCGAAATGTCCCGTGCGATTTGCTGACATTAATCAGGCCTCGGGAAACTCGCTCTCATCGTACTACCTTGTTACTATGATGAACACCGCCGGCATCACGGACGAGAAGAAAGTCCTAGCTCTCAACGCCGTCAACTCGGTGCTCGGCCTTCTGGGATCTCTCATCGGTGCCCGCCTCACAGACAGAGTCGGCCGTCGTCCCCTCCTGATCTACTCCATCCTCTTCGCCTCTGTGATCTTCGCCGTCATAACCGGCACCTCTAAAATGGCTGTCGACGATCCTAGTAACACCAACGCAGCTAACACAACCATCACCTTCGTCTTCCTCTTCGGCGTCGTCTTCTCCATCGGCTGGACCGCCCAGCAATCTATGTACATCGCTGAAACCCTGACCACACAGAACCGCGCCAAAGGCACCGCTTTAGGTAACTTCATGTCCAGTGGGATCTCGATTGTGCTGGCGTATAGCTCGGGCCCGGCTTTTGAGAAGATTGGGTATTATTTCTACTTGGTGTTTGTGTTTTGGGATGTGTTTGAGGCGGTGTTTATATGGAAGTTCTTTCCAGAGACGAAGGATCGTACATTGGAAGAGTTGGCGGAGGTCTTTGAGGCGGAGAATCCGGTTAAGAAGTCCGTTGAGCCGCGGGATGCGAAGACGGTTGTGGCGACGATGCAGATCAATATCGAAAGGATAGGTCCGGCCCGGGAGCGTTAGCCGGGGTAGGCGGGGTTGATGGCGTTTATTCGGCCTGAGTGTGAGTCTCTCTCTCCGCTATTAAGGAGATGGTTACTCGACGGAGAATTGAGAGAGGCCGATGCCGCATCTTCTGTGTTTCTGGTTACATCTGACCGTCCAGGTCTGAGCTGCATTATTCAAGAGGCGACTGTCGAGTACCTATGTCGCTACTGACGTCTAATGGGGTATATATTCGCCACCAACTTCTCATTACCCAGAGCGGCAGAGCGGTAGGGAGACACGTCAACAAGCTCGTTGCCGTAGCGCCGTGCCGTGCCGTGCCAGTCCGCTACCGTGTGCAAAACTCAGACCACGAGTCCTTAGAAATCATTCCTTCCAAGCAGGGTAGCTTGTATCGTAACCTGCTATCAAGAAAGAAAAGCCTGGGGGATACCGGTAATCGGACAATTGGACAAAGGCCGAAGCTTGTCTTTTCCTCATGACTCAAGCACCAGCGCCTTCGGTTCCACCCGCACTCCGTTAGCTACTGTGGCACAGAGTACCGTAGCTTCCTAACCTTCCTAACCCTTCCTAACTAAGGATGTCCGTTGGCCGCGCTTTTCAACTTCCCGAGGCAACTCTAGCTTTAGATGGAAAGACTCCATGGCTAGTTCGGCTCTCGTTGCGTTTAGGTCGAGGGTCGAGGAGTGACGAAATCACACTGGCTTGATGAGGGAGTTCTTTCCCAGCTTTATATACAACCCTCTCCTTCTGCTTCTCCTTTTGCTATCTTCCATCAATCAATCATTCGTTCAATCAATCATTCGTTCAATCAATCAACGCTCCAGAGCTGTACTCGACTGAAAAAAACTGAAAAAAAGAAACTTTTCAATTTACCAAGGATGAAGTCAAATCTATTTCTTGGAAGCATCTCTGCTTCCCTTTTGGCACTCACCCAAGCAGCTCTGCCTATTGTCGACCTTGGATATAATGTTCACCAGGCCACCTTGAACGTATGTAGCGTGGCTTCCATACCTATGCTTACCTACAGTCACCGTACTCACACCAAAGCAGTCATCGGGTTCTGGGTACTTTAATTTCTCAAACATCCGCTACGCAGAACCTCCCGTCGGTCCTTTGCGATTCAACCCACCCGTCGCCCCAAGTGGCCGTAATACGACGGTCGTTTCTGGAGGAAACAACGTTATGTGCCCTCAAGCTCATCCAGGTAAGTAGTTGCTGGATGCTCGAAGATAAAGAACTCAACCTGACAAAACCATAGCCTGGTCGGCAGACGCATTAAAATTTTTAACTGCCTATCTCACCGGTCAGAACATCAGTAGCTACACAAACCCGACAGTGACCCAAACTCCAGCAATGATGAACCTCTCGTCTGTCATGATGCCTGATTCACAGACTTCTGAAGATTGCCTCTTCCTCGATGTCATTGTCCCCGAGAAGGTCTTCAATGCCAAAAGAAACAAGACCACGAACGGCTATCACGGGGTTTCATGTCAGCCCGGGCAAAATTGCACGGTACATGCTGGTGCACCGGTCTTGGTGTGGATTTATGGAGGTGGGTATACCGGTGGGAGCAAGACAAGCGAAGGAAATCCAGCAAGCTTGATCTCGCGGAGTGTTGAAAATAACGGTGAAGGCGTTGTTTACGTCGCTATGAATTATCGTCTGGGTCTTTTCGTATGTTCAAGAACTCGGCCCTGTGTAGTTCTCTCTTAACTGACTGGCTCCTCAGGGGTGGCTAGCGGGAAACGAGAATGTCACGGCCAATGTTGGGCTCTTGGACCAGAAATTAGCACTCGACTGGATTCAGGACAACATCTCCCTCTTTGGCGGTGATCCATCGCGAGTCACAGTGATGGGAGAATCCGCTGGAGGAGGCTCGATCATGCATCACAGTGAGTATTGATAGTACCCTGTATTATCCCATTCTGAAAAGCGCAAAAACTATTCGGGGCATGTTTTACTCTGTGAAAATGGCTAACTCCGGGGTCTTACAGTCACCTCGTACGCTGGCATGGGAAGCGTACCTTTCCAACGAGCCATTTCTCAAAGCCCGGCGTTCGAACCTGTTATTCCCGAGCAGTCAGAAGCTCTTTTCTCACAAGTGCTCGGTAACGCGTCAGAACTTACAAACAGAACCGTCAGCACCGCAGACGATCTTCGGGCGTTATCTTTTGAATCCTTGTTCACACTCAATGCCATGTTAGTAGGCCTCTCGAATTATGGATTATTCTCTTTTGGGCCTGTTATCGATCCTACTCCAGGTCAGTCTATTTTTGATTTACTCACTCCTACTGGGATAATTGCTTTCGGAAGTAACATGCTGATTTTCCCCTAGGATCATATGTTCCGGATATTCCCATTCGGCTGATAGCCAATGGTTCTTACCATAACGTTAGTATTATGGTAGGGCACAACTCCAATGAAGGTATCTACTTTACACCGCCCTCTATCCAAACGCAGGAGGAGTCTATACGTACTTTTTCTATTCTCTTCCCAGGTGCCAACGAATCAACCATCTGTAAGTGCCCAGTGTCTAGCCATAAAATCGACGCTTGCCAAGTCCGATACTAATCCTGATAGCTACAATCGTGGACGACCTTTATCCTCCAGTATACAACGGTACCTACGGTTACAAGAACGTTATTGACCGCACTTCCCTTGTAATCTCCAACTTTCTCGTAACATGCAATAGCTACTACCTCACCAAAACTCTCCCCTCATCCTACGGCTACATCTTCCAAGTGCCACCCGGCCTTCACGGTCAAGATATCGCGTACACTTTTTTCAACGGCGACAGCTCGACCCTCAACGACGGTGTCGTCGTCAACACCACCGTCGCAACTGCCTTCCAGCGCTACCTAACAAGTTTCGCGATGACGGGTCTGCCTGTGGCCGAAGGCGTCCCGGATTTCACGATGTACGGCGACAATAGCACGGTTTCGAGTATAAGCTCACGTGTGTTCTCGATTCCGGAAATAGGCGAGCATATTGTGGATCCTGGGGCGATGGAGAAGCAGTGTCGATTTTGGGCGGAGGCGCCGTATTACAATATGCCGATGCATGATGGGTGGAGTACAGACTCGCATTAAGGCGGAAGAGGAGCGAATAATGTTTGATGAAGTAATGGTTTTGTTGGAAAGACGCCTGGCGGGAGTTGAGAATTCGAGGATGAGATGGCAACGAAATTTTAAGCGGTACGTAATCGTCGGCTCGCTTAGGTGGGCCTCCTTGCGTCTTAGTCGGCGTAAGCGATTGCGGATCGGAAGCGAATGCGGATTTTTCTTCTACTGCTAGTTTTGTATATAAAATTCACTTTATAATATTACTTTTTAATTTACAATCGCATAATTCAATCGTATTTCATTAATCATAGGCCGAAAACGTAATTATATACTAATGGTTTAATATGTTAAATCGATAAAAAGCTTGCTGCTAAGCAGCAAGCTACAAAAAATCTTAAATCTGCTATAAAATAATAACGAATAGTCGATAAGATTTAAAAAGAAAAGATATTGAATATTATAAAAGAGTCGATTCACGCAAAGCTAAGCGCGAGCGTAAAAGGACTATACGAAAACGCTTTGCTGCAAGCTTAATTATTAAAGACAACGATCCAATAATTATTTTAATTCTAGATTCGAAAGAGATTTGATAGATGCAACAACCTCTTGAACGTCAAATTCTGCGGCCTCGTAAAAAAAGTATTCCTCGACCAACTCTCTTTTAACCTGAACCTTCTTTCGGGAACGATAATCTGATAATTATAAACGATACTACCGGAGACCCTTCTTTAAAACAAGATATTTTTCCTCTTCTTAATATTAATATCGATAGCGATAGCTTTAATTGTAATAGTAATAAAGATTCAAACGATTCGTTGCGCAAGGTAAGAGACGAGTCAAATTCTAATAAAAATAATAATCGATAGTTCAATGTTTTCATCGGATAATACGATTTTAAATGTTTCGAAAGACGGTATACTTGTAGATTAATTATTCATGTAAATATTTCTTAATTATTATAGTAAATGCTATAGTATAAAAGAATTTCCAATATATTCGAAAAATCCGCAATCGCTTATGCCGACTAAGACTGAAAGGATGTAAGAAGGCCCACTTGAGCGAGCCGACGATTACTGTAGCCACGATCGAAGACAAGAGGAGGATCAATACACAGGTAGATATTTAGATAGATAATATGTAGGTAGGTTCCAGTGAGTTATTATGTAGTATATGGGCGTGGTCGCTTTGCGAGGGAATACATAACAGGATAGAAGGGTGAAAAGGACTGTTGCGAAATCGTGGGTATTTTTGTATCTGAAGTACTTTACAATATCATAGGGTGCACGCATGCGGTAGCGATTGACCGACCAGTCTTCCTGTGTTCCGAGACGCCATCATAAATCGTGATCATCACGCTCACGTCCACGCCCACGCCCAAACTTCAAAACTTCAAAACTTCAAAACTTCAAAACTTCAAAACGTCATGCACTCCTGTTCCATCCCGCACTCCGTGCAAGTCCTCACGTCCATGCCGTCCTCACCCTGCACCGCGATACCCCAAGAGTGTTCATGCTTGGCGTCTGAAATCTGGTCGCCGAAATTCCCCCCCGCGGCCCCGTTCTTCATGTGCCGCCGGTACTTGTCGGTCAGGGTCTTCTTCTGCAGCTCCCTCAGACCGGTCTTGAATTTTTTGTTCTTGCGGATCTTGGCGTCTTCCACCCGCTTCTCATGCTCGGCGTCCAGCGCCTCCTCTGATCCCCACTTCTTCCAGGCGTAGGCCTCGACTTGGAAGCGGAGGAAGAGGTTCATGTCGTGCCAGTGAGTCATGTGGGGGTTTCGCTTGGAAAGATGAGGAAGGAGTTCGGCGTCCTCCAGTTCAGCTGTTGGTGGGTTATGTTTAGCGTGGCGCGTGCAGGAGAAAGGCGAGAAGGATGGGAGTAAGAGGCTTACGGTTGGTCAATAGGTAATCTTGCCTCACCTCCGTCTTCGTTAACAGACTGTACTTGTCCGGGAACTTCTCCTTGCAGCTGTTGCAGACCTGGCACCCGAATACTTCGTCCCATTGCCAGTCGATTTCCAAGCTCCTGCAGTCCGTACATCTCTTGCCTTGCTCCTTCGCAGTGAGTCCCAGACCTGGTTCGAATGGGCCTTCCTTTCTCCGCCGCAAGCTCTTGAGCAGCTGGTGGCGTTCCCACTCTTTCAGAGTCATATGCGACGGCTTCTCTTCCTTCGGTGCATGCAAGGCCTTGTTGAACGGGTCATCATCCGCGTTCAGGAATCCACCCCTCGTATCCGTCATCTTGCTGAAGTCATGGTCGACATAGCTTGCGAACTTCCTCGCAGCCTGGATACCACTCTCTTTAGGCATGTTTCGGCCATCGCGGTTCGACCGAGGGACGTCGGCGGTAGATATCAAGCTGTGGGCGCGCTTTGCGCTCGCTGGCGCCGCGGTGGCGAGGAATCCTGAAGGGGTGCGTTTGGCGGATTGGGAGGCGGCTGCTGCCTCTCGGGCGAGCGACTGTTCGCGGAGAGCTTTGGCTTTGAGCCGATTCTCTTCCTGGGAAATGATGTTAGTAATGGTATATTGTACTCAGACACTTGGTTTGGCTGACGATTTTGCGAGTCACTTCAGGCGTGAGTGGTGGCCGAGCTGATTGATCTTGAGCTTGAGCTTGAGCTCGAGTCGCTCGCTTTGCAGGCGGAGTGCTTGGTCGATCCATATTGTATGATTCCTGTTTGGAGGCAAGAAAGAACAGTGACTCTGTTTGGATGTTGATGTCGGATGTCCTGTTGACAAGGCTTTCAGTGGCAATAAAGTCGAGATTGTTCAGCCTCGGCTAGTCACCATCCGACAAATACCCGAGAGCTCTCGGCAATGTCATTGTCTTTTGGTTACCTCTTCGGCGTTCATCTTTCCGGTTCATATTATCTTAATATTTGGATAAGCCGGAGAAATATTTGCCAGCTGCCAATACTCATATTGTCTGTTGTGCCAGATTCGGGGCCTTCTAATCATATCGGGGATACGTTCAGATACCGTCACGATCATCTGCAGCCTTTCTCGTTGGTGTCTCAGTGATGCTATACTACATATATACGCCTTTGCCAACGAAAGTCGTTCTCTTTATCTTTCAGTGCCCAGCCCGAAACTGGCGAGCTGATTTTTGCTTTATACTGTTGATGACTCTCCCCCGGATCCTCTTGTCTATTTGTTGACATTGGCATCAATATCGAAACTCACCAAGCCTCGGACAGAACATGAAGCTTCGTCTTACGAAATTGACGTTGGAATATCAACCGCATCATATTTTTTTTTAGCTAACTTAGACCGCATATCTTCCTGCCTTGCCATATATCGTATAGAACGACTACGAACATGCTACCCAAGCTTACCGCTAACCCTCCGTCTCTTCGACGCCTTCAAGCCTCGATTGACCCAAGCGGTGGAGCATATCGCGCCGTTCGGGAGGTGACCTTCGTAGCGCTTATGATGATTGAGTTGGTAGCATTGCAATAGCTGCAGTGGTTGAATTGATCGAATGAATTGAGTGACAATCAAGTTGAGGTTTGGCAATGAAAGCCATATAAAAATTATTATATGACTGACGAGCCACCCCTTTCTGGTTAATGCAAAGCGTGTTTCAACTCCCAACACCATTCAGTGGGTTAATACCATTTAGTGGGTAGCTAGGCTCTCCAATATTTCCAGCAATATTCCAACTCTTCCAATCAACGATCTCGTCCGAATAATTTAACAGCTCTGCCTTAGTTTCAAAGCAGATGGACCATAAACCTAGGCCGTCGTCATTTACCACTTTAGTTGGAATAAGCATGTGCAGCCTGTCGCCGGCATATGCGATGTATGAAAAGCGCAAGACCTTTTCGGGCTTTGGCATGTTCATCTCTGACTTGATGTAATCCAAGATGACGTCTTCGTCTTGGGACCATAAATCCATTTGCGAAGACCGACCCAGGAAACCTCTTTTCTCGAAACTTTCTGGAATCCATAGTTTGGCCGCTTCATCAAACTTTTGAATGTTCGCCTCGATAACACAGTACCATTGATCAGACGTACTCAACATACCGAGCCAGCTGTCAGGGCTGTTTACTATTTTTTAGATTATTAGCTTTTGCGTAACAAGCAATAGAATCAAGAGGTAAGGATCTATAGATACAAATCAACTTACTCGTATAAAATCCATTTCCTATTTGATGCGTGTAGCCCATATCTCCGCGGTGCAGTCTACTTTTGAAAGGCTTGTGAGTTTTATTGATAGCAGTTGCTTCTCCCTATAATTCGCGTAATTAGCATGAGCTTGTATTATAATTGCGAAGTAAGCTTATCATTTTCGCTTACTTCTACTAAAGTGAAAATGGTGTGCCGCTTCATGATTATAAACTATATTGAACCTACTTTGGAGACTATTCGATAGCCGATGGTTTTTCTTCCGCTTCCTACAGCTTGAGCTCTAGTAAACAGAAAGCTCAAGGCTAGCAAGATTGGGCAAAGAAATTGCGATAGTAGTCGTCGCATCGTGATTTAAAGACTGAAAAGTCATTCGATAGTGCGAGCTAAGGAAGGAGAATAAGCTTGAAAAGGAAGAAAGAAGAAGAAGAAGAAGAAGAAGAAGATGATGATGATGATGATGAGCTGAATCTAAAGCAAATGCAAGAAGAGATTATCCCTCTTATGAAGTACATCTCTTTCACTGATTTTATCTGATATCGTGCTCATTTAACTAATATTAGCAACCGTTTTTGGGCTTTCTATTAATCGCCGTTTAATCATCGGTTACCTTAAATACGATGCGAGAGAGATTGATCTGACCTAACCACCAAGGCGGGACACCTACTAAGGCAACCGTTCCATGAGAACACTTATTAAATCAATTATCAATCATCAATCTAATCTAATATAATGTTGAGCTAAATAGGTATAGATCTTGGCTAAGACCGTAAACTATCAAGAATGCGGTCACCTGACCTACCCAAGGGGAATACGTTGATTGGATGCATTTATTTGAGCTCGGGCTGCACTCTTGATGTCGAAAACCACCTTTTGCGGTTGAGAACTACAATCAGGGACTCTTCCCCTTTCGATTACCTGATGAATAGCTAATAAATATTGACAGATTGCAATTTTTTGATCACTTTACAACGTATTTATAGATTTTTTCTTTTCCGGATACTTGACTAATAGCTAATTAACATTAAGGCGGGAAATGCTCGAGAAACAGCTAGCTGCATCGCGCTCAGGGAAGCTACAAAGTGACAGAGATACACGGTGAAGTGTTATAACCCTTACTACTCCACAGCTACTATTCCAACCTAATTGAGCAATTACTATGTCCCAGGCGTAAGTATCACCCCTTGAGGGTAGGGTAACCAGGAGGTTTATAGTTGGAACTAAACTTTTGAGGTACCCTCGAGGGATAATACCGGTACTTACGCCTGTACCGTGGTACGTGACCTTAAGCACGGAACCTTTACGTATACTCTGTATAGTCTCGTAAATCCTTACGGAGAGATACTTTACTTTGTCTAATGACCGTCTTTCACAAAAGAGGATCAGAGGATCGCTGAAATGACCCCTACCTGCCTCAAAGGTAACTCAAAGAAATAACTATGAAATGAAAGTTGGTGGTATAAAAAAAAGTATTTTTAATGGTTTTTTATGAAAGTCCGATTTTCGTGTTCCTCGCTGATTCTAGTATCTATAGGTAGACGGCGATTCTGATATATACGCATAGTACGACAGTATCAAAATCAGTACTAAGATCTGTAATTATCATAACCCATCGTACCTTCGCTCGCTATTTGACTCCTATCAACACCATCGTCAAGCTCAGAATCGCTAGTATTTTGAGGACGGACGGTAACCGAGGGTGGTGAAAAATGTATCGATTACGATTTTGGTGAGGTTGAAAATTTAGATCACAACCGACAAGCGTCCTTTTCGAATAGATTTTCCTTTACCGGCGACTCCGAACGAACCCTTCCTTTACCTCGACCACCACGCCGGCTACGATCTATACCTGATGAGCATATCAACTGAGAATATACCAGGAGGATTTGCGATAAAAGGGGAAAGGGTGTAAGGGGTAGGAAAAGGTTCGAGACGATCTACTCTTTTTCTCTATGATCCTTCTTATTTATAAAAGAAAGCTTAGTCGACAGTAACCTCGCTATAGCAACTTGAAATGCTTTTAAAAGCTGTATAAGGATCGCGATACCGCGAGATCAGAAACCCGGGACTATCTATTAAAGAGCCTTTCCCGTTTCGTGGTTTTTACCCTTTATTGGACCGTACTTTATATATACCCACGGTACAGGCCTAAGTATTACCCCTCGAGGGTGCCTCAAAAGTCTAGTTTCCACTTTAAACCCCCTGGTTACCCTACCCTCGAGGGGTAATACTTACGCCTGGGACGTAGTAAGACCTTTACTTACCTCAAAGGCAGGTAGGGGGTCATTTGAGCGGTCCTTTGACCCTCTTTTATAAAAGACGGTTATTGGACCGTTTAAAATCAGTCCTAGTTATAAATCAAGAATAATTCACCTTTTTGATCGTCCCTGAGCTCGAGACCATCCTATGGCCATCCTATGGCCATCCTATGGCCGTCCCCGTTTATATTTTTAAAACAGACTTACTAATAAGCTCGTTTTAAAAACTTGAAACTTTAATTTTTTTATAATCGGAATCGATCGATTCAGCAAAAGTCCAGCCGCACGAATGCACTTCTTTCGATTGCAAAGGGGGTAATATGGTAAGGGGGTGGTATACCTACCGGTAGTAAAGTGTAGACTAGCAAGTAATAGAAAAGGGAAAAAAATTATTTGCTTACTAATTCACGTTCTCCGAGACGGTTTGAAATTCGAGGACGGCCATGGGACGGCTATAAGACGGTCTTAAAATGGTCATTTCGTAAAAAGACCGACTTTTATTAACGACGATTTAATCGATTAAAATGGTCTTACTTTATAAATGATCTTTTAACAAAAAGACGAGCTTTTATAAAAAACGGTTTAATCGAATAAGATAGTTCCATTTTAGCTACGATTTAAATAATTCAAATCGTTTGTTTTCAGATTCTATTCAATCTTAACTATCGGCCTAGGGTGATTTATTAACTATGCTAACCTCTTGGAGTCGTCTTCTAAAGAGACCGTCATCGGATTGTCAGCTGACGGTTTAAATTACCCCCTGCCCTTAAGGTAGCATGTCGCCGTAGTCCATTGGAGGTCCTAGGACAGCAATTTGCCACCCGCCCGACGTAAATTAGTTGTATCTTACATTGAATTTTAATATGAAAATTTGATATTTAGAAAAACCTTCATCAAGCGGACTGATGCATCTTGTTTTTATTATTAAGGCTTTCACAGTCATGATTTTATTCAAGTTATAAATATAGTCGAAAATTTGATATTCTTGAATTTTCGCTAAATTGTTCGAGCTTTTTTCGCTTTTACAATTGTAATTTTTGCGTGATAAGTATTATTTTAATTATTTCAATAACAAAAATGTATAATATTCTTCATAAATAAAATAGAACTGGCTCACCTCGACTCGTGTATCCAACTTTTATCATTACAGCTTCATTCATTGTTAACTCATTCTTAAAACAAATCGCGATTTTCGATTATTTTTCGATAAAAAGTCAAAAACATTAGTTTTTTACGATTTGCAACTTAAATAGCTTAACATTAAAAAGAGCTATACTATTAAAGATTGAATGCATTAATCGGTGGAATCGAGCTCTTTCAAAGTATCGGAGTTTTAATATCATCGCTCTCTTCGTTGCTAAATATTTCTAATACAAGTTGAAATAATTCAAATGGGACACTTGCTTGTCCTGATTGTTACCGAGAGCCCGCAGGTAATAGTCAGCGCACTGACTATTAGAACGTCTCGGAAAGGTTTCCTAGATTCCCATTCCGAGGTTCCCAGCGCCCACATTTAGAAGTACGGTACTACGGACTGTACTACCGTACAAGTACAACTGGTACTAAACGCCACCTTACCTATCCTTCTGCAGTGGGACCAGACCGCACACTCCAACCAAAGCAAAGCAAAGCAAAGCAAAGCAAAGCAAAGCAAAGCAAAGCAAAGCAAAGCAAAGCAAAGCAAAGCAAATAACCCCCCTTACCTACCCACCCACCCACCCATCCACCTACCCACCTACCGAGATCCTTACCCTGACTGCATAGGTACCGGTACCGTACCTATACCGTCTTATTTGCTCCGTAGGCTGGACACGGAAACACGCACATCCACACGCACACGCACACCGCGACTGCCCCTCTACCGTACCGCTCAATGACATCGAACCCGCCGTCGTCCGGTGGTGGCCCTTCGGTCTCCGCCCAACGCACCCAGACCTTAAAGAGGAGCGTACAAGCTGCCTTTGATGGTAAGTGAAATAAACAATCTTCTCTTAGCATCCTGATTATCCATTATTGTGCATCTTGATTACCTATTATTGCCTATTATTGTGCATCTTTTCTTCTTTTGCTCACAACCCCCTTGTTGCGATGCTCTGGTGATAAATACCTGGCTTTTTCGTCCAGGCATAGATAGATAGTAGCTGAGGAGGCTATCTCTTCTCTACTACCATACCTACCATACCATACCCCCGACCCCGAGATCAATACATGAATGAAATGTTTCCTCCCCGACGGCCTTTTTTTTGTATGTGCTCTCGTACCTGTTCTGAATAGCTGCTAACTCAACCGATAGACCCGGCGGATCATGGGATCAGCCCCAATGTAGGATATCAGAGCAAGGTTCGCGTCATTGATCGTTACAAGGTCATCGGCTTCATCAGCAGTGGAACCTACGGACGAGTCTACAAAGCTGTTAGCCGTTATGGTCAGCCCGGAGAGTTTGCCATCAAGAAATTCAAGCCGGGTATGCATCCATCACCGGCTCAGTCTACACGGCGCCTTGCTGACTCGATTTTCCAGATAAGGAAGGCGAGCAAATTCAATACACCGGCATCTCGCAGTCAGCCGTACGAGAAATGGCTTTGTGCTCGGAACTCAGACACATCAACGTCATCCGACTGAATGAGACCATTCTGGAGGACAAATGTATCTACATGGTCTTCGAGTATGCTGAACATGATCTGCTTCAAATCATACACCACCACACGCAGCCCACGCGTCATCCCATGGTGCCGTCGGCACTTAAGTCCATTATGTTTCAACTTCTGAATGGATGTCAGTATCTGCATGCAAACTGGGTCCTCCATCGAGATCTTAAGCCAGCCAATATCATGGTGACTTCGGGTGGCGAAGTGAAGATTGGAGATCTCGGCTTGGCACGACTCTTCAACAAACCTCTACACAGCCTCTTCTCAGGCGATAAAGTCGTCGTCACCATCTGGTACCGAGCCCCGGAGCTGCTGCTCGGCTCGAGACATTATACGCCCGCAATAGACATGTGGGCCATCGGGTGTATATTTGCGGAATTGCTTTCCCTACGCCCGATCTTCAAGGGCGAGGAGGCAAAAATGGACAGCAAGAAGACGGTCCCTTTCCAAAGGAACCAGATGCAAAAGATTGTAGAAATCATGGGGATACCGACAAAAGAAAAATGGCCACATTTGGTCAACATGCCTGAATACAACCAGCTCAGCACTCTCTCAAGCTCCAACTCGAGGTCCGGATCGAATCTCGAAAAGTGGTACTACAGCACGATTAATGCACACGCTCCCACATCTGTTCCATCTAATGCGTCCCTTGGAGCCGAAGGTTACAAGCTGCTCTCTGGCCTACTCGAGTATGATCCCGAGCGAAGGCTTACGGCTCAGCAAGCACTGCAGCATCCTTTCTTCACCACCGGAGAGAAAGTAAGCAGTAATTGCTTCGAGGGCGTCAAGGCAGAGTACCCGCATCGCAGAGTCAGCCAGGATGACAACGATATACGCACGAGTAGTCTCCCTGGCACAAAGCGGAGCGGGCTGCCGGACGATACAAGACCGATGAAGAGACTGAAGGAATAATGAATGGACTCCATTAAGCTTTGCCCACCGGTAAATTGTAAACAGCCGCTGCCATCGTGTCAATTGTTTGGGGGACTTTGCAGACGATCAAACCCGAGATCGGAGGAAATACGGGGAGGGGACAGAGGTTGGATCGATTCTCGTCGCACCCCCGGGTTTCGAAATATGCAATCGTGATGCCAGACTCCCCACTCGTCACATCCGGACTCACATCGAGGTCCACCGAACGAAGAATGACCCAAGAATCAGGAGAGGCAAGAGATTAGTTTGCTCACCGCTGTTGTGCACCTACTTGATTCGACGAGAAATTACGCCAAGGTTTGTGCTGTGCTACAGTGGCGCTGGCAAGCATCGTCCCAGACTCGGTGAAGGCTTATTCGGACGAGGTGCATCGCAGTTGCATGTCAGAAGCAGAAGTGTGACGATACATAGAGGTGGTTTTTTGGGGGGCTCACAAGAGCCAAATCCCGCTCAATGGATTGTCGGAATTCAGTCAAACAACTACTTCCACATCTCAAATAAGAAAATTTGAAAGATCAAAAATTTGTTTTGGTCTTTTTCTGCTGTCTTCACTGTGTATGTGTTGCACGTTGGCTCAGTTCAGCCTTTGAGAGGGGTTGGTGGTAATAGCGACTCGCGAGATCCGAGAGTCGCTCCTTGGGAATAAAATTCCCTTTCCCGCGCTGCCTCCTGTCTGCCGTATCTCGCTCTCTCTCTCTCTCTCTCCTATCTATTGGCCCCTTCGCTCCTGTCCGTCTCGACGCACTACCGCCACCGATTTACAAGCCTCGCTCTCCCTTCTCTCCTCCTGCGTTCAATTACGAACTTCTCCACCGCGGACCCTGATCGGATGTCTGATAAACGCCAGTAAGCCGTACACAGGGCTGGGGAAGGGGGAAGGGGTGGGGGATTCAGACTCCAGCCACTCAAGTCAGTCAGTCAGTCAGTCAGCATAGTAACAGTAACTAACCAACCCGACCTGGCTCGACTGATTTGTCTCAACAAGAAGCGGTTGTGGACTTGGAGAGCGGAGAGGGGTTGGGGCTATGTATGTATGTGTGTATGTATGTATGTATCTTGTATCTTGAGACTGTTATCAGATACACCTAGTTTCCTTGGTAGCCAGGTAGCTAGGTAGCTAGGTAGCTAGGTAGCTAGGTAGCTAGGTAGCTAGGTGTCTATCTAATCTCGCCTCTGTGCCTGGCAGTTCTGGTGGTGGCATTGAGTGAGTGAGTGAGTGCCTTGAATCGTGCTTCAATCGCGCTTCGATGGGGAGGCTCGGGGGAGGATGGGATTAACTGGATGTTTTGTTTTAGCATGATAAGTTGGTTGTATCAAAGGATGATGTTAAATCGGTGTGGCAAGAGAAGATTACTAGGTACAGTACGGTTTGGAGCTTGCAAGGATCGGTTCAGAGGAGTGGCTGTCTGTATGTATGTGTATATACCTACCTTATGTGAGAACTTCGCTTTGCATGTCTCTGTACCTTACTAGGCACGTCGGGCAAAAATATCGAGTTAATAGCTGGCAAGCGACGAGTATTGGAGGTCTTGGGGCGAGGGGCGTTTGCTCCGCTTTTGACCCGCTAGACGTAGATAATTACTACTACTACTAGTTGATAGGATCGCAAGGACTAGAGATTGTCGTCGATCAGCTCGAGGGGGAGGATTAGCGATAAGTTATTTCGCGCAAGAGGAAAGAAAAACATCTGTGCTTCGAGAATGAGAGAGGGAGGAGGGTGGATGGATTTAATTTTAAAATGTTTTATACGGCCGGCTCGTTACGATTATTCAATTGAATGTACAGGCTAGCCAAGAACAACCATTGTTATTCGCGAACCGAGCTCACATTCCGGATCACCAGAGTCAAAAAGTCAGAAGAAGTAGCCGTCAACTACGGAGAAAAAAAGCGGTTGACTGACAAGGACGCTGCGGAAGCCATTCTTTCCCCAGTCTCCAGGACGCATCTTCGACGATACACGGAACAGGGCGGCTGCGGGTATCGAAGCCATCTCCTCTGGTCTGCATCTCTCTCTCGTCGGGCGAGGGCCATCGCGGAATAATGGGGTTCTCTTCTCCCAGGTGGCAGATGTATCGTTCGATCCTGCGCTTCAGGCAATCCTGGTGGATGGTGGTTCCAGGGGTGACTATCCAGGCTTCGTTCCTGTTGTTGGTGAGGATGCCTGAGAAGGCCATGTCCGCGAGGTTGAGCGACGTCCGCAGAAACTCGATCATGTCCAGCCAGGAGCCGACGTCTTCGACTTCGCCTTTGTGGGTGTGATTTTCCGTTAGTGTTCCCGAGGGGGAGAGAATCGCTGGGTCATCAATGTCATCATCCATTTGGTCGATGTTTCCTTCAGCTCGCGAGGCGGAACTCGGATATAGGATGATTTCGGATAGCTGGAGTGCTCGTAGAGTTCCCGAGTGCCTGGCAAAAAGTGCCTTCAGATCACCCCCTCTTGCTTCGAGAGACTTAAGGGAGAGAGACTGGAGATGATCCCACTGATGGGTGGGAAGTAGAAATTGTGCGAGCTTGATCCTTCCCCCCTGAACAGCGAAGGTGCGATTTCGGGTCGGACTGAACTCGAGCTGAAGAGAACGTAGAGCTGAGCACCGAGATAGTATAAGAGTTAGACACGAGGTTGGGCCGCTTCCCATGCTAGTATCATCGAAAGCCAGTTTGAGTGTCTTCACGTTTGATAGGCGCGCTGATACCTTTGAACATGTGGCCGCCTGCATGGTCACCAGCCCTGATTTTCCCCAATCCCGCATGTTGAGATTGATACCCCCAAGGTATGTGAGAGACGGGAGTTTACCAGCGCCATTGAGGGATTGCAGAAGTGTCCAGAATTGACTGCACATATCTGGCGTTTTCGACCTGGTAAGAATACTTTCCGGCAACCAAAACGGTCTGGTAATTCCGGAGAGGCGTGATGTCGTCGATTCGTCATTTTTCGCATGATATTCGATGCCACAGAGTCCTGGGAGCCTCCAAACGATGTTCGAAAGCAGACCAGTTTCCCGAAGAAGCCATGCGCCCGCCTCCTCGTCGAGAATTGCTAGCTCCCACTGCCGATACAATGTCTTCAAATCGGTACGGGGAATCTGGCCGACCAGGTGCGACTGGTTACAATGTTCCTGTTTGGAGGAGTCAGCAATTGCCAGAAGCAGAATGTTCCGGGAAGAGAACGAGACAACCAAGGTTGGAAATTCCAGCTTCACCAAGCACTCACAAGTGAAGGTCCTTTGGCCCGATTTATCAACATACATGGATCGTAGCTGATCACTCGAACATACGTGCTCAGAACTGGATGTTTAGCAATGTTCTCGAGTTTGAGATAATTATAATGACTGATTGTGACAAAAACTTGACGGTATAGTGATCTTGATGCTGATTTGTTAAATTTGAGACACATGAGCCGGAGGAACTTCAGCTCTAATCGAGGAATATATCCGCAAATGACGTCCAGAAGCTCCGAGGGAAGGAGCACGATATTCCTGCAACTATCCCCTGTCGGGACAGCCTGTGGCGGAGAAGACATATCTTGTTGATTCGAACCGGAATCGTTCGGTCAAGGTCAATAGGGAGGAAAGTACTTGAAATTCCCAGGATATCAGGGGAATGGGGTTCTTAAGTACCCAACAAGTGACGTCGTTCACGGGCGCCGGCAATCGAGACGTCATATAAAAAGTAGTAAGTTCGTTGGATTTTGCTGCTAGTACTAAGTCAGTTGAGGTATATAGATATATGGTGTGTATTAGCTAGCCTTGCAGAGATCTTCTTGAAGATATATCGATCCTTCTTAGACCTCTTTCCTCTGTTCCGGTAGTATCAGTATAAAGCCGAAATGGCGCACCGGGATTGCCTATGTCTACTTTGGACATCTTGTTTTACAATTCGCTTTCGTCATGGCCATCGCCGTCACCATCTCCTTCACTATGCTCACCCGCTGCTGTCCCACCTTCGTCATCGCTATCGTCCTCCTCACTACTCGACCCGGAACCCTCGCTCTCGCCCTCACTTCCAGGGTCATAGTCTTCTTCATCTTCATCTTCCTCGTCCATGGCGGCTTGCTCAGCCTCCGTGGCCGCTTTCTCTAACTCATTTGACTCTTCACTATCGATAATATTGCCGTCTTCGTCCTTGACAGCATTGATATTCAGCCTCTTCGCTTTTCTCTGCTCGGCCATACTCTTATCCTGCAATCCATGCCTCTTGACAAAATTTCCGATGCCTACAAAATCCTCTTGGTCCAGCATCGCAAATTCGTACTCTGCTTTATTCTCTGCCTCTCCGGGTACACTTGTATCGACTTCCACGGCAAGGTTGAATGTTCGTTGCAAGACACTGGTGTAAGAGACAGCCGAGATTCGCTCATTGGGAAGAAACAGCAAAGGTTTCTTGAATGCCCACAGTATCCCATTTGGTAGGAAAAACAAATATCCATCCTTGGACCCTCTGAATCCTTTGACAAAAACGGCCTTCTCATGGGGTCGATGAGATTGTTTCAGCTCTGAGGCAAAGGACTTTGGGTCGGCTTGCGTAATCTTGAAGTTGCTCTTCCCGGCAGCCTTGAACCTCGCAGATAGCGCCCAGTCAAAAAGTGTTTTGTAATCATCAGATACAGCTGCGGCGGCTCCAGCTTCGAGGCCACTTATTGAACCAGCCTTGGGTGCTGTATCGGGTATAGTGAATACAAGAGGTTCGATATTTGGGGAAGCGCCCGCTATCGGTCTCGATGGTGTGATGGCGGAGTTCCGGGGAAAGAGGATGTAGTTGTGTTGTTTTACGGTCTTTTCGGGTACAGGAAGGCAAAATGCGTACTCTGAAAGCCATAATTAGTCGTGGTGAGCGCCTGCACATTATCGACGTACCGATATTACTCCACGCAAAGCTCATTCCAGGCACAGGCTCAGTAGAATCTGGAAGGCGGGCGTAAAGGTGTTTGGACGTGAAGCAGAGCGTATATTTCTTCCTTTGGGGAACTGCCACGGAAATTTCCTTGACTTCGAGAAGCACAGGCTCGTCAGAGCTAGCATCGGCCGCGGCTTTTGTTGCACCATCGATTGCCGCATGTCCATTTGCGCCGCTCGAGGCAGGTCGGGCAACCAAGCCCTGATCCTCAATTCGTCGCTTTTTGTTGGCAGGCTCTGGGCTGTTGCCTGGAATAACAGTGCAAACGTACTGGGAGATTTGGTTGAATAGTTCGATGTAGTGAGGACCAGCTGTAACCATATATCAGTTCTATATATATGATAGTAGATTCAGAAGTCAGAAAGACTTGATATTTCAGCATATGCGTGTTGAGGCCTCGCAACAAGGCTATATGTATCATGATATGTTGTTGGGAAGCGTACCAGCGGATGCATTCCGAATCGCTCCCTGAATGTCAACTCGACCTTCGAAAGCCTTTGCGAGACTCTTCTCATCAAGAGAGGAGGATCCCATTTTTGGTGGAAATGTGTTGAAGCTTGGAATGAGAGACGCGGTTGTACGCGATTTCAAGTGATCTTGCGAGACAGCCTTGTGGTTCAGGGGTTATATCCTCTATCACGAGACACATTTGTGGCATTGAATGAGTTCCAGAAATCAGTCATTCACACTGGATATCTGCCTATCTGATGTTTTTTTCCACCGAAAAGTTCTTTTAACTCATGCATACATAACCTAACCTGAAGCAGATGTAAGTATCGGCACGTGTGGAGGAGGGGAGGCGGCAAGGCCGGGGGGGTTTCGCTTTTCTCGGTGCGACACTGAAAAATAGACTGACAACATGAACAACATCATACTTCTACAAATACTCCTTTCGCCTCGACAACGCCCATGTTTCCCTTCGGATTTCTCACAGCCCTCCATGAAGATTGTAAATACGGATGGGTTGAGGAATGATCGATTCAAATGAACCCCATCCGGCCGTCGTCGCCATGACTTGGACGACGAGATCTCTCGCTGACAGCAATAGCGGAGCAACAGCACCTCATCCATCTTTTACAAATCCCACCGGGATTGTGGATTGACTTATCCTACGCCCTGGTCGGCCTGAAGACTTTCTCGCTACAAACTGTACTTAGGGAACATCCGTGGAAGCAACTGCATTTACGGGCGTAGCTTGTCGCGTATTATGTCCTTTAAGGGTCGACCTTAAATCGAAGATACTTCGACTTATTATTACTTAAACGCCCACAGCGCCGCTCGAATCTTGGGATCGGCCTCACCTTTACGTAAAAGGCCCTGTTTCCTCAGAGCTTCATCGTTTTATTCACAAGCCAAAAAAGGCACCGAGCCCGATTTTCCTAGTACTTGACTTTACCCCACCAAAAACCCCGCCATCGACATTCCAGGATACTTCGTAGTTGTCCCATCTTTGTCGCGCATCATTATTATATATCAAGACCACTTTGCGAAATCTCTCCGGGCTTCTCACGATGACGACCACCTCGATGATTCAACCAAAGTTCCTTTCGAAAGGTGACCAGCTCGGCGTGGTCGCCGTCGGTTTCTCTGGGGGACAAGTAAGCACCCAAGGTCTGCATTGCATCATTCTCTGGCTGACAGCTCCCAGTGCAAACCTGGAGTCGACGCCGCGCCCTCGGCTCTGATTGAGAGTGGCCTTTTGACCCAGCTCAAGGAAGAACTGGGCTACAAACTCTTTCACGATGATACTGTCCACTCCTACAAGGACCTGCTCCCTGCCTCCGATCCGGACTACCGCGGAATGAAGAACCCACTCGCAGTATCTGCTGTTACTCGCAAGCTTTCGGAACAAGTGTATTCCCATGCGAAGGAAGGCCGAATGGTTCTTACACTCGGAGGTGACCACAGTATTGCCATTGGCACAATTGCGGGAACTGCAAAGGCTATTCGAGAACGCTTGAATCGCGAGATGGCCGTAGTCTGGGTAGATGCGCATACGGATATCAATACTCCAGAGACAAGTGATAGCGGAAACGTTCACGGGATGCCGGTTGCGTTCTTGACTGGCCTTGCCACAGACGAGCGGGAGGACGTCTTTGGATGGTTGAGGAAGGAAAACATGATCAGCGTCAAGAAGTTGGTTTACATTGGTCTACGCGATGTTGACCGGGGCGAGAAGCTTATTTTGAGAGAGAATGGCATCAAAGCATTCAGCATGCATGACATCGACAGGTACTTTAATCTAGGAAGTGTGGATATTGACAAATGCTGACCAGGGTAGACACGGCATCGGCAAAGTCATGGAAATGGCCTTAGCTCATATTGGCAATGACACACCCATCCATTTGTCTTTCGATGTCGATGCACTGGACCCAATGTGGGCTCCTAGCACCGGGACACCCGTTCGCGGAGGACTCACTTTGAGAGAAGGGGACTTTATCGCCGAGTGCGTTCACGAGACCGGTTGCTTGGTTGCCATGGATCTGGTCGAGGTCAACCCTACGCTGGAGCCAGGTGTTGACGATATTGGAGCCCATATGACCGTCAGATCTGGCTGTTCGCTGGTCAGATGCGCATTGGGCGAGTCTCTTCTGTAATTCTATGGGCTGGGGGCTTCTTGGGCGGTACTTGGGCGGTACTTGTAGTTAGCTCGGCTAGACGCGGAGTTCAGGCCGGCAACCATAGAAAACAGAGTCCTGTATACACAATTATCTCTTCTGAATACATGTATGAACCGCTTGTGTGACACCGAGTCATTCACAACGAACGCGTGGTTGTACCCACCTGCATCTTACAAACGAGACGCTAAGTAGCGAGGCTGAGCTTCCGGAAACCTCGAGCGGCGATTTGACAGCGAGAACCAAATAACATCACCAGCCTCGCCATCAATTCGACTTTGCCTTCTACCTACGGTTTCAATCTACGTATGAAATCGATACACATGATCTAATATGGCTTCCTCATCACGCTCGGAACCTCCGGAAGATGCCAGCTTCACAACCATGGACGAGAAAGACCCGACTCTAATCGGCATTCACTGTCAATACACATATTGTAACCAACTCGACTTTCTGCCCTTCCGCTGCGAATCATGCCGCGGTACCTACTGTCTCGACCACCGCTCAGAAACGGGGCACCAGTGTCACAAAGCCGGAGAGTGGGCCGCGCAGAGGCGGCGAGCGAACCTCTCGACGCCCTCCCTCGGCGCAGGCAAGATGATGGCCGAGGTCGAGAAGCCCTGCGCTTCGCCTGCATGCAAAACCTTGATCGGCACAAGTCTCTCGACCTCGGTGCATTGTTCTACATGCAATCGGGACTACTGTCTCAAGCATAGGCTGAAGGAGGATCACGACTGCACGAATCTCGTTCCGATCGGGGCACGGGTGAGCAAGTTTGATACTCAGGCCGATAATGCGAAGAATGCGCTGGAGAGGTTGCGAGCTTGGGGGACGGCGCAGAAGGCCAGTATGGCTACGAGGGTTCTGCCGAAGCCGAAATCGACGTCGGCGGCCGCGAGGGTGGTCGCTGTGAATAAACTGAAGAAGACGGCGAAAGGGGACGACAAAATCCCAGTGGAGAAACGAGTATATTTGTATGTGGAAGCGGAAGCGGCTACGACATCGTCGAAGTTTCCAAGTGGCGCGTTCTACTACTCGAAGGACTGGGTGATGGGTAGAGTGCTAGATGCTGCGGCCAAGAGTCTGCAGGTCAATAATGTCAATAACCAGGCGATGGACGAGAGGGAGAAGCTAAGGGTCTTTCATGTCGAGGGAGGGAGGCTGCTGGAGTTCAATGAGAAGGTCGGGACGGCGCTAGTTAGTGGCAACAGGATTGTGTTGCTGAGAGGTGTCGGACCTGCAGTGCCGGATCTGATAGACCTGACGAGGAATTGAGACTGGATCGAAATTTATTTGGAAAAGATCATACCAGCGGGCGGGCCTACTGGTGCTGTTATTAGGGTGCTACTTGCGGGTGGCAATACTTTTTCCTGTTGATTTATGGCGTTCGAGAGCATGAGCGATTAAGCATGGTGGAGGCGTCTTTGATTTTACGAATGATGCCTTGTATAAAAGCATATTGAACGTTTGGAATTTGCAATGACGTTCTTGCAGAGTTCTTGACGAACGCCAGTAGGTACTGGATCGACTGCGGGGGAATCACGATAGGTTTGCAACAGCGATGCATTATCTTTACGACGAGCTATATTGTAAGTACTAGTCTTCAATTAAACTATGGTTGATCACACGTTTTCCATCTTTCTTCACCTCCGGATCACGGACAGAGTATGTAGTCCGAGAATCACAGGAAAGTGATAGATGAAATACATATTTGCTCCTACGATGATCATACAGTGAAGTCTCAAAAACATATCGCGCTTACTAGACGATGGGCACCTTTGGAACATTGGGCATTCCTCATTCACTACCACACCTTACGTACCTGAAGCAAAGCAAGCGCTCTCCGCTCGCCTTCTGATTCGTGGTCTATTTACATCAATCTTGGCAGCATGTCTGATAATAGCACAGCCACTGCACTGCAACACGCTCTCCAGCAGCCGCCAACCACGTCACTGGCCTGGGTTCAAGATAGCCGCCGCTCTTGTGCTTCCTGTCTCTTTCCACTTGTTCTAGTATACAATTACTACTATCTCCCTCCTTTCTGCCTTCCTCGATTCCACGTTTGTCTCCTTGATTGAATCTGTGATCCGGTGCCTAAAGGTACCTCATCAACCTTGCTGCGACTCGCATATCTGTTCCCTTTTTTCCCATTTTCTTCAAGGCACAAGCAAAAACCACAGCTAAGCAACTAGCCTTGCTTATTGCAAGGTCCATAGCCATGGCTGGACATAATGTATGTTTTGCGTGGCCCCAGGACCCACCCGATCGTGGTCGTATATCGTACCGTCACTGAAACCCAGCAGGATCCAAAGCTCCTCTACGCCATCAACGGTATCCATGCCTACCACATCGAGAATGGCAAGGAAGAGTGCATCACGCCCGCAGGCGCGCAAACTTTATCGCTACTCATGGTCCCGACATCGTCACCATTCTCCGGGCTGTCCTCCGCCGACCCTCAATCTGCTGGTCCGGAAGAGGACTTCTACCTCCATCTCCACTTGCCTCCCGAGCTCGACCTCCCTCTTCCTGCGACCACACAGATATACCACCAGCCTCCCAACAGCTATCTCATTCCACGATGGGATCTGGGCCCAGAAAACGGTGCATTCACGAGGTTACAGTTCCCTCGCGTTGATGAAGGAAAGGGAATCCAGGATGATATCGATACCTTTGAGACGATTCTCGCGCAATGTACAGCTTTCTTAGAGCGAGCCTCGCCACCAAGGTCCGCGCGCCCGAATACATCGCGGTCCCAAGGTTCTAAAGAGTTGCCAATTGCTCCGTACGATCCATCAGCATTCAAACCAGGAGAAGCCTACGTACCTGGAAGCGCCAGCTCTCACGTTGGCGGCAAAATCGTTCTCATTGACGAGGAAAATGGAAGCGTGGTCGGGGAACTGGGTGAAGGATTCCATGTTGTGGAAGACAGCAACATGAAGGCGGGCAACAAAGGTAATGTTCACTTGGTTGGCAAATTCTGGGGAGTCTATTAACAGACACAAGACCCTGTCGAGATCACACTTCCCCAAAATGGATCTTCCAATATCGGCGTTGCGCCGGCTTCTGAAGAGTACCTTGAAATGGCCATGCACCCAGCCTACAAGAACTCCATGCTGATCTCAAAGGCGGCTATGGCATCCCGCCTGATTGTCACGACCTCGAGCAGCGTATCCAAGATTCTGCAAACCCAAGCCGACAGCTTCACCCAAAATACGAAACCCAACTCTAAGCCTATGACTTTTGACCCTACCACGCACACGCGCCTCCGAAAAGTGCACACTTTCTCTGAAGGCGCAGCTGGTCTGAGTGCCAAGACGGTAGGACAGGTCAGCAAGTACGCACAGAATCTGGGAGCTTCGCTAGTCAACCGTGGCGAGAAGGCTAATCATAGGGGAATCGGCCCTGATGGCAAGCCCGTTAGCGGGTACAAGCCAGGACTGCTGAACAAGAGTTTGATGGCGTTCTCTACTATTGCAGATGGAGTCGACCAAGCTGGCCGTAATCTCCTGGCCTCTACATCGACTGCTGCAACGACTGTTGTAACGCACAAGTACGGAGCTGAAGCTGGTGAGGTAACGAAGAACATTGGTGGTGGTGTCAAGAACGTTGGGTTAGTTTATATCGATGCCACCGGTGTATCGCGGAGAGCTATTATAAAGTCGGTCGCTAAGGGCATGGTGATCGGCAAGATGAGGGGCGGAGGGGATCTGGTGGTTGGTGGTGGTGATGGAGGTGTGATGACAGCGTCGCCGAACGTTACGCAGAACTGGAAGGAAAAAGAGGCTTTCCAAGAGCGGGACACGGACTATGTGAGCATGACCGGTGGCAGGGGCACGCCTGATATCATTGGTTTTGGAAGACAGACTCTGCCCGCCTATGGACATACTGGCCCAGGGGAGAGCTTGGAAGGGCAGAAAGCCTATCCAAGTGCTATGAGGCAATGAGCTGGGGTGGGAGGGGTGCGGGAGTATTAAACCGTACATGCAAAGACTTTCCGAAATATGCTTTGTGGGACTGCGTAACGATAGGCTTCGCTACAAGATACAACATGGAATTCCTATTACATTTGTTGTAAAGGCGTGGGGATGCGTTGAGAGTTGCATTTTGCAGCAAGTATATACAGAGTAAATAGGGATCAACGCCTAAGACTCCGGCCCGACGTTATACCTGGACAGGACATTCCCTTTCTTATCCCTTGGGCTACCCTTCCTCACATCCCTTCATGGGGGCCTGTCCTTTTGAAGTGTCCGATTGTCTCAGCTGGCGCTTCAGCTGCCGTATCAACACCGATATAGTTGCGTCTCCTAATAGCAAAGCTATGACAATCTGATTGTAAACGCGCCTTCAGTATACTCACCTTGATAGTGGCAACACGCTTTTATCTACCCATCCAGAGTTGCTTGCAACAGAAACAAAGGCTGGTGGCACGAAAGCAGAGCAGCACGGTGTAGGGACGGAGGAGATAGTCTTATCATTGCTTTACAGCCTAATCAGTATCGGATCTCGAGTCTGACTTTACAGCGTTCTTGAAGTGTAATGAAACTACGAGTTATATATATTTATCGTAAACATATACGATTTTGCAAAACCTGGAGGTGTTGACAATGTAGGTACATCAGAGTCTTCGGCTGTCGGGGATAGCCGCTTGTTTCGCCCGCTTCCGTTACCAGTATTTGCATAGCCGAGGCTTCTGCTTTGCGATCGTCAGGCATTCAGGCAATCGGACGGATACTTTGGGAAATCGAGCATCTCATCAAGAGGATAGGCTCCTGTAGTACCACGAGGGGTGAGGAGGGGTGGCCTGGGCGATTATTGTCTGCATGAGAGTGGGAGTTACGAAAAAAAAAAACTGGATCTAAAGAAAGAGCTTTCCAGTTGAGCTAGGTAGTGAGGGTTGAGTTGAGTTGAGTTGAGTTGAGCTGGAGCTGAGCTGAGCTCTGAGGCTGAGGCTGAGGCTTAGCTGAATCGAATTGACTCCTTCCAGTGTTCTTTTAGATATTCTTCGGCTCACGCGCTAGTTTGTGGTCTAGGCGTTTTCTAAGTAGCTCCCTCTTCGGTTGCCTCCACCTTGTCTTACGTCGAAGATCATCTTAAACATCCTTAGCTTCTTAGCTATGTATAATATTACAATCCCCTTTCTTAATTATACCATCCCCCCCTTTAAGACTGAAAGGATGGGAGGAGGTCCACCTAAGCGAGCCGACGATTGAATAAAAGGCAGCAGCCTAATGGCGGCACGAGCCAAAACAAAGCAAAAGTCTACCGGTATCCGTGCCACCTTCGGACCCTGCCCTTTATCTGCAAGGGGAGGGATAGTACTACGTATATCAAAAAGATTAACGCATAGATGTACTTGTAATAATTACCTATCCCATGAATACTCCGTAGTCCTTACAGTACGGAGAAGCTTATCACCTGATGTCCGAGCTCAAGCTTCATAGGTAGCTACCCCACATGAAATCGGGCCCCCTCCTCTTCCCCTCCCTTCCAACAAGCAACAAGCAACCAGCACCAAGAGCCCACAAACTCACCATACGGGCCGAGCCAATTGGAATGACAGCTACGCCGAATCCGGATATACGGACTCTACTCCAGGTTCGGGAATAACCCTGGCGGTAATTGAGCATTAGGTTGGATTCTTCGTACAGTCCCAATATAAACACCCCTCCTCCTCCTCCTCCTCCTCCTCCCCCCCCCTCTCTTCTACGATGAGCACCGCCCGCTTCTGCGGAACCACGACACGAGCGACACGGACCATTCTACGATCGCCGCCGCTTCTGAAGTATAGTAGCCGAAGCAGCTGTTTACCGAAGCTCTGTACCGATACAACGGGCTTAAGTGGGCGTGGATCTGGTTTGGGATTGAAGCAGAAGAAGAAGGGTGTTGAAATTGGGATAGGGAGAGGATTCGCTACGATGCCGATGCAGCATAGTGTGCCGGCGCTGAGCGACCCGTCACTGTTGAAGACGGGCGTCGCGTATGTGGATGGCGAGTGGGTGGGTGCAAAGTCTGGGAAGACCTTTGAGGTTTTTGGTGGGTGGTGCTCTTGTTCAGTTTTTCTTTGTGGATTGGGTTTTTCTTCGTTGTTTTGAGGGGAGCTGCTGATTTGGAGGGAGGGTGGAAAGGATAGATTGGAAAGGATAGGATGGGGAGATGCTTTTCTTCTTTTTCTTTTGACAACAAGTAGGTGTGATTTTGCTGATTGTGCTCGTGTGATGCAGACCCCTCCTCGGCAAAGCTCATCGGCGTCGCGCCGGAGTTCGAGGTCGAGGACACGCAGAAGGCGATTGATGCCGCGGCTAGGGCTTTCCCGGCTTTCAAGCTTATGACAGGGCGGGAGAGGTCAAAGATGTTGCGGAAGTGGTACGACCTGATGGTCGAGAACTCGGAAGATATCGCGAAGCTCATAACGTGGGAAAATGGCAAGCCTTTTGCCGATGCCAAGGGCGAGGCTGCGTATGCAGCGAGCTTTTTCGAGTGGTTTAGCGAGGAGGCGCCGAGAGTGTATGGGGATACTATTCCGGCGTCGGTTGTCGGCAACAGAGTGGTGACGATCAAGGAGCCCGTTGGGGTTTGTGGTTTGATTACACCGTGCGCATACCCCCCTTGGAACTTCAAGGTACGAAGGCTAATTGGGATAGATGGAACTTTCCGGCGGCAATGATTACGAGGAAGATTGGCCCTGCTCTTGCCGCTGGCTGCACAGTGGTCGCTAAGTCTCCTGGCGAGACACCTTTCACTGCCCTCGCTCTAGCCGAGCTTGCTCACAGAGCTGGTATTCCCAAAGGAGTCGTCAATGTCATAAGCGCTCTCGAGAACACCCCAGCAGTTGGGAAGCTCCTCACCACTTCGCCAATCGTTAAGAAAGTCTCGTTCACTGGATCGACTGGCGTCGGCAAGCTATTGATGAAGCAATCTTCCTCCACCCTCAAGAAGTTATCCTTTGAGCTGGGTGGAAACGCTCCATTTATTGTCTTCGACGACGCAGATCTCGACGCTGCAGTTGCAGGAGCAATTACCAGCAAATTCCGCTCTTCAGGCCAAACATGTGTCTGCGCAAACCGAATCTTCGTGCAATCCAAAATCTACGACTCGTTCGCCCAAGCATTCGCTGCCAAGGTCAAGGAGTTCAAGGTTGGCGGCGGATACACCGAGGGCGTCACTCACGGTCCCTTGATCCATGACAGAGCGATCAGCAAGGTTGATGCTCATGTCAGGGACGCTGAGAAGAAGGGTGGAAAGGTCGTCCAAGGTGGGCAGAAGATGCCTGAACTGGGATCGAACTTCTTCCAGCCTACGATCATCACTGGCATGACGACCGATATGGCTCTCGCTACAGAGGAAACGTTCGGTCCCGTCGCTGGACTCTTCAAGTTCGAGACTGAAGAGGAGGTTGTCAAGATTGCTAACTCGTCCGAAGTCGGACTAGCGGGATACTTCTTCTCGAAGGATATCCACCGCGTGGCGCGCATTGCTGAGGCGTTGGAAGTCGGCATGGTGGGTGTGAACACCGGCTTAATCAGTGATCCTGCGGCACCATTTGGCGGTGTTAAAGAGAGTGGCTTTGGCAGGGAGGGGAGCAAGTATGGAATTGGGGAGTACCAGGTTACGAAGATGATCACGTATGGTGGGATGGGGACACCGCTGCAGAAGTAGACGGGTGTAATGGAAGGCTGTCAGAGAATATATTATTCTTTGAGTCTTGATATCTGAGGTTTACAAGTACCTTCCTGCTTTGTTACAATGTATCAACTAATGCCCACGACTACCAGACCTAATGAGCGAGGTCCGTTGAACGATTGACTTTCAAGTTCCATATACCGCTTACATCAAGGCATGGGTGGAGGGCTTATGAGTAGGCGGGTAGTTAGTCATCCTTGCTCGACTCTACCCGCGCCTTCCTTAAACGATTACCCTGCAGGTACCTTTCGCTTTAAACCCTTAATATCCTTCACTTCCCTTCATTTCACATCACTGCGCAACTTCTCTCGCAAAATCACAACCTCACGTCCTCTGCAGCCATTACGATTCGACACGAGCCATTTCCGACTCCAGGAAATAATAATGGCAAGCATAAGCTAGCGGGTACACAACGGTCGTCACTATCGAGGTATCTTGGGGGAGTTCCTTGGAGGAAAGTGAAGTAGCCTAGACTGATTGATGACTTTAACCTACCTCGTGCGTGCCCGATCTCGCTATCCTGGTTGGTGAAGTGGCCCTCCCCACTCCCAATCTGGGAAGTGCTCGAAAGCCGACCACTGTGACGACCCTGGCGACGGACACTAGCGCCAGATGGATATTTCGATTGTGAAGAACTTCTTATCGCGCGTCGTGAGGAAAGGGCGCTTCTCGTGCTCATTACCGAAAAAGACCGATTGATTAGCTGGAGGGCTTAGAAGGCGTGCGTGAGAGAGGTGAGGGGCGTTACTGCCGCGCGTTGCCGCATACATAAGCGAGAAGGGATAGAATATATATGTCGAGGTGTGAGACGACGACGGGAGATCTCGATCGGCGAAACGGATTATACGTATAAATCTCTTCTCGGAACGCGGAGCGAGCTTGAGGAAATAGATCGGGCTGGGGGTGCTTGCTATGCTAGAACGGGGATATTTGTGGTCCGCCTCCGCAAGCAGGGCCTCTGCGAAATGTGCTGGATCCTATGTTGTGGGGAAATGTCCCAGCTAGGTACATAGTGCCTCCTTGCAACGACACTTCTGCGGACATGTATGACAGGTTCTGCCTTTGTGATGGAGCATTTATCGATTACTTGGCCTCTCCTCACGCCAGCGTCAGCGGGCGATTCCGTCGCGTGGCTTCCTTACCCAGACAGGCACCAGCTCCTCAAGAAAACGCGAGAAGAGAGGAAAATGCAGGAATAGGGGGCAATAACCTGCTTCGTAAGAGATCCCCATGTAGATTGATTGCCTTGTGTGTTGACCTGGTCTCCAATGCAGGAAATTTCAAATTTCTTCGGCTGCAATCCCTCCCCCCGACGGCCTTGAATGTATCTAGTCTACGAGTATAGACCTCGAGTAGATACCGTGTATAACGGTATGAGCTTGAAAGGCGAGGATATTCCGAACAAAGGCCGCATGTCGGAAGTGAAGTCAAGAACGGTCGCCATTGGACCACCGTTCCCCAGCTCATATTCTGCTTGTTCTTCCTCTGCCGCATATAACTGCTCCTACAGAAGTGCGTCTCTTTCCAAATTTCAAATCCATCTACTTCCAGTTGCCTCCTTGATAGCCCCAAGATCGTACCTTTTCACGACTTTTCGCGAATTCAAAATAATCCCTTTCGCATTCTCCTCGGTGTTTTTGGTTCCGTTGTGCCAGGCTCATAGCCTCAGGATCTCTCCTCCCTGCCGTATCCCCCCACGGAACAAATCCTCAATGACCTTCCCACCTAGCACCGTCTTCCGCACAATCCCTTCAACATGCTTGGGCTCCACCCTCCCATACCAAATTCCACATCCCGCCAATTCATTCGGCTTCCCATCTCTTTTCTTCAAGCCAGGCGGAAGATACAAAATCACATTCCCAGCGAACTTGTGTCCCCCAATGTGGCTTATCAAGCCCACCCTTGCAGAAGTTCCAGAAATATTCCCTTCAGCCTCAATCGTCTCTCTCTTTTGCTCATCTCCGAGGTCCACTGGCCCTTTCAGCACATGGAAATCCTCTTCATCGAGGCGCCTCTCGAATTCCTCTCTCAGCACGGGACCTAGAACACCACATCTCATATCCCTTCCTCCATGCCCACAAATCAACACCATAACACCCTTGACGTCCTGCACACCGTACAGAAATCCTCGGTCCTCAGCCCTCGTTAACCTGTCCCTGTGAATAGGTGACTGACCGTCATGCATGGGATGCAATTTCTTGGGCAGCAAGTAGCATTTGACAAGCACTTCTACCGAATCAAAAGACACGCGCGGAAGGATAGGTATATATTTGAAGCTTGGAAATAAATACGCGGATGTAGTCTGGACTTCGGAGCGAGACGGGATTGAGGAGGGAAGGGAGGTGTTGGTTATCAAGACTTTATGGTACGGCTATACCAACAAATTAGCCGGGCTTCCTTCCAGAATCAACGGCTATGGGATTTGACTGACATCAGAGTATGTTCCTCCCCGTCCCATCAACTCTTTTATGTCCGCAGCTAGGTTGTCCCCCGAGTTCTCATCCTCAATATTGCTTAACCAGTCATCATTTCCTGTACAGACCAGCACCTGCTCAGCATACGGAGCCATTGTCCCACTTAGAGGCTTCGAATGGTCTATTGGCAAGCCGGCCGGCATGGCAGGCGTCTCGGCGCAAAAGCATGTCGGCGACGGACATGCTTGAATTGTCGGGAAGCTGGCTTTAGTTTGTGTAGAAAGGGTTCGGAGACGGATTTTGGGGAGGAGACAAATTCGCCATGATGACCTGGCTATGGGTTGCAAGAACATGAGGATTGTGCGGGAGCTGCAGTGTTGATACAAAATCGAGGTTTGTTGCTATAAATTTCGAAAAGATGTTCGGTCCACAGCCGAGAGCCTACGTCATTGACAGGGTGTTTGTCTTGGCAGTCGCGTTCGAGAAAACACTTAACGCGTCCGACCTTGGCCTGGTGGTGCACGGGCCACTAGCTTTGGTGAGGTATAAACATTTTCCTTCCCTCCCTCGTAGGTCCATGACAACTCCTTTAGCTGACCTCCCTTCTTTTTGCATATCTGCCTGGACGACCATACGATTTCAAAAACATGTCACCCACGACCTTTGAAGCAGAATCGTCCTCTCAAGTCATATCAATGTCTGCAGAACCATTTGTCTCTCAAAATGAGACTCCAAAACACGAAGAATACCAATATCTCGACCTCGTCCGAGATTGCCTCGAGAAGGGAGAACATCGTCCAGACAGGTAGGTCATATTGTTCGGGGAGAACGACGCGTGTTCTAATAGCTATGCTAGAACTGGGACAGGAACATACTCTATTTTTGCCCCGCGGCCCATGAAATTCTCCCTCACCTCTCCAGACGGTAAACCTATCCTCCCCCTCCTCACAACGAAACGCGTTTTCCTCCGCGCCGTGATTGGAGAGCTCCTCTGGTTCATCTCAGGCTCCACCTCCTCTCTACCACTCCAAGCTGCAGGAATCAAGATCTGGGACGGCAACGGATCCCGCGAGTACCTTGACTCAGTTGGGCTTTCCCACCGGGCAGTCGGCGATCTGGGACCAGTATACGGATTTCAGTGGCGGCACTTCGGCGCGGAATACGTTGATGCCGAGACCGACTATACAGGACAGGGTGTTGATCAATTGGCCGAGGTTATTGACAAGCTGAAGCATAATCCTTATGACAGAAGAATCATCTTTAGCGCATGGAATCCGAAAGACTTGAAGCTCATGGCTCTACCACCTTGCCATATGTTTGCCCAGTTCTACGTCTCATTTCCCAAGGGGGAGCTTGGTGAGAAGGGGAGGGGAAAACTGGACTGTCAGGTTTATCAAAGGAGCTCTGACTTGGGCCTTGGAGAGCCGTTTAATATCGCAAGTTATGCCCTGTTGACGCATATGCTTGCTCATGTCTGCGACTTGACGCCTGGCACCTTCACTCATGTTCTTGGAGACGCCCACGTCTATGCGGACCACGTGGATGCTCTAAAGACGCAATTGACGAGGGAACCGAAGGCATTTCCCGAGTTAGAGATCACGAGAGAGAAAGGGGGCAGCATCGATGGCTGGAAGTTGGAGGACTTTATCGTTAAAGGATACGAGCCCCATAAGGCTATTTCCATGAAGATGTCAGTCTAGGCATCTGAATTGGAGTTGAAAAGGGAACGGATGTATAATGATGGCGTCAGGGTGGTGACGGCTGCCTTAACAAGCCAATGGTTTACATTTTATGGATTTTTATGAGCAAATGAGAATATACCAAAACACTTAGAACTAAGGCTATCCTAATTTCACACTGCCGATGTTTTACAGGCTCTACCTTATACATTGAGTCGATTGCGCTATTTCACTTTCATTTACTCGAGTCTCGAGCTGAAAGCCAACAACTATGCACATAACGATAGGTTGCTATTTTTTTTTAAAAAAAAAAAAAACGCAAAGCAAAAGGTAAAAATTTATTTGCAAGCTACTCAAGATACGTTAGATTAATTATTATTTAATAATTTGTATTAAAGTATACCGAATAAATTTAAAGCTTGTATCGCGGCCGAAAGCTAGCATATTAAGTAGTAAAGTCCATGTGCATTCGAATAATTAGCTT